TGAACTATGCCTCTCCTGCTACCGTATCGAGAGCCGGAATGGTGTTCGTGGATCCTAAGAATTTGGGATACCAGCCTTATTGGGACAGGTTAGTGGTTTTGCTTATTGGGACAGGTTAGTGGTTTGTCGTTTACGGTTTTAGTGGCTTAGGTGCCGTCTAATAATCACACGAGGCTCAAATAGGAGGAGTTCGACAAAAAATCACTGGATCTCAAAGTCTGGAGGAAGTGTAATAAAATGATACATGTATAATAAAACCTCACCACGTATCACCAAGGGATAGGGGAGAGGGCATCTAAAAATGCAAAAAAATATTCACGTGAATATTTATTTCCGAATCATTATCAATTTTGTCCACAACTTATAGATATGTAAGTATTTACTTGTCTAACAAAATATACTAAAAATCGAGCGTATACAGATGGCTACGTGGTCGCAACAACGAGGAGGAGCGTGAACAGTTGGACGGTATGTTCGACCACTACGTTACGGGTGCCATCAACTACATCATCTTCGGCATGTTCGGGCTGCAACAACAAACTCCACTCAAGACCATCGTACCACAGACACCACTTAACCTGGTCAGTACTTTCGTACTTGATTTCACAATAGCGACAATACGGTATTTGACAACTAGTTAAATTCAATACTGTCGAAAACGACGAGTTTTCTATGAATTTTGTACGAGATTGTGAATTGTGACTATACTAAAATTAAGTTGGTCATAAAATCAATTAATGAAAGTGTGATTATTTTTTAATATTTTATTTCATTGTATAACAGTCGAAATCATTTATTCTTGATTAAAGAAAATACCCAATTAAGTTGTTACTCATCTTGTGTTGCGAGGGTCCATTGACAGCACAGTAATTCTTTGTCATCTTTCCCATAAATATACTTATTCGAATTCTAATAGGTATTAAACATTTGGGAAATCCTCCTATCTTATGATTTAGATATGATAAACAGTATTAATATATTAATGTGATGTATATTTCGGTGAGTGTGTGGGGGAATTGCACAACTTGATTCCCCCTAGTCCTTTACCATCATGCATAATCGTACCACAAGATAATCGGCGAAGCGTCACCGATTCATGGTAGATGTCCCATCCACACGCACGAAGCGCTTCGCATCAAGCTTCCTAGTGCGTACTGCTAAGGAGTACAATTTTTCGCCAGAGTCTGTATTTCCTGAAGGGTATAATATGGGTATCTTCAAGACCCGAGTGAATAGGTTGCTTATGGGACGACGTGCTCCATCGTAGACCGCATAATCGCTTACCACGAGGCGAGATAGTGGTCAAACGTCGGACCATCAAATATAAAAAAAAAATGTGATAAATATAATGTTTACATAACCAAATTGCCTTTTCGATTCACTGCACTTTAAAGTGCAAGGTGACATAGGTAACTGATGGTAAAATATGTACAGGTGGTACAGTTATGCTACATGATCAGCGGTCTGCTGCCGAACAGAGAGGACGCTAATGAAGAGATTGATAGAACAGTCGTCGAATGCGTGTTCATGGTGGTAAGTAACTTAATTGAGAACCATCTTAAACTGTCAAATACCAAGCGGTCACCGGTGACCGCAACCTATTGTTCTATAATTGTGTCTACAAAATCGGTACTCGACGAGTTAATATGGACATACCTTTTTATTCTAGAGAGTGTACATAGAAGTCTGTAACCTACCCACTTTTCAACAAAGCAGTGTACTATTGCAAAAAAATATTTATTGTAATTCTATTGAACGTCTTACTTGCGTTACTGTTTGGAACAAGATAATTCAATTTACTTAACCGACTTCAAAAAAGATTCTCAATTTGACCTGTATGTAGGTATATTTATATATTTATTCGCGATTATCTTGCGATGCGGTTTTCAGAAATGTGTTTGTTACTTCGCAGAAGATTTTAGTATATGACTGCCTCATTAGCCGAGTGGACGCAAGTGCAAGGGGTATCGGGTTCGATTCCCGGGTCGGGCAAAGTATTACTGAGTTTTTAAAAAACCTCAGTGAGGTAGTAGCACTTCGTCTGGAATTTTGCCCGGTTTAAGGCAATAGGCTCACGCCCTTTTACATGGGACTCGTAACATAAATAGTGAAAAGTGGGTGTTAAATTATACATGGCATAATATGCACCTCTGCCTACCCCATCGGGGATAAAAGGCGGTTATTATGTTATGTAATTAACCGGTTTCAAAAAAAGAGGAGGGTTAGGTATGTCGTAATAAAAACTTACTATTATTAAGTTTCTTCGGCACTTCTCTCGACCCTAGGATAGTACCAGAGACTTGTTACTCGGTGCGCACGCGGCCATCCTAACAACGAGGAGATAACAGTAGCTAATATTTTATTAAGTAACTGATATAACATTAGATAATAAATATTCTACTATCAGATAATTTAGAGCTCATGTTTTATTACATAAGATGTCCAAGGTTAGGCATATCAATAGTACGTGCTTATAGTGTTTTAAAATAAATAAATATTGTTCTGTTTCTGACTCGGTGACGGATTTCAAAGAGTGAATGTATCGGGGGCGTAGCTCAGATGGTAGAGCGCTCGCTTAGCATGCGAGAGGTACCGGGATCGATACCCGGCGCCTCCAAATTTTATTTTGTTTTAATTCTTCAAGGAAAAGTGAATGTATTTTTATGGAAAGGTTGTGTAAGTGCACAATAAATGGCTTGTTTTGCTGACTGTACACATGGGGGGCGTAGCTCAGATGGTAGAGCGCTCGCTTAGCATGCGAGAGGTACCGGGATCGATACCCGGCGCCTCCAACTATATTTTTTTTCATTCTTCTTTCACTTATAACATAATACAAAGTAGTACATTTAGACACTAAGTAGGACCAAATAGTGTTATTACCTTTTTGCTATCATTCAGAACTGTTACTTAGGGTACATGTCACAAGGTCTGGAACGCCGCTATGTACCAGAAAATTTGAATTAGGAATGTAATTTGTATGGAACTATCTGTCACATATGTTTGTCGAGTGCTCACATGAAGGTGGTTTAACTCGTCGAGTACCGTCATTATAGACACAATTATAGAACAATAGGTTGCGGTCACCAGTGACCGCTTGGTGTTTGACAGTTTAATTGGTGCTAAATAGAGTAAAACATGAGAGAAGGGACGTAACCATACAGGAGGAATTGTCGCGTATAGATTCATCGCTGGAATCGCTATTAACTCGTCGAGTACCGGTTTTGTAGACACAATTATAGAACAATAGGTTGCGGTCACCGGTGACCGCTTGATGTTTGACAGTTTAATTGTGTCTATAATGACGGTACTCAAAGAGATAAGAACTAAGATATTTTGTCTTAGTGAGTAGGACCGCTATTGAGAACTAATTGGGTACTTGCCAACTAGTCAAATTCAATACTTGTTTTCGAACTGTCAAAAACGACAGTGTCCTATAAATTTTGTACGAGATTGTGTATTGTGACGTCACGTTTTTTAAGCGCCAAACAGCATACTTATTTCTTTTAAATTCGCTGGAAAAAAAACTAAAATTAAGTTGGTCATAAAATCAATTAATGAAAGTGTGACTATTTTTCATTATTTTATTGTATTGAACAGTCGAAATAATATATTTTTGATTAAGGAAAGTACCCGATTGTTATCCAATTAAAAATGAGCTAGTGTTAAACCATTGGACAGTCATTTCAAACTATAGTGATTGGACGAATAGGACCTCGTGCCCTTAGCCCTCGTTGACTAAATATAATTCTAAACTACCCTTAGGTCTGTCTACAAATAATATTTTGTTATTGTTCCAGTCAATGTACAACAGTCTTGGGGCCACTATAATAGATGATGGTCGCTTTGATTTCGATGTTTACATCAAGAAAGCGTGTCCAATGATGCTCGTAGAAGACACACTGGAGAAGAAAGCCACAACAAGTAATAAAACTTTATTAATTAATCTAACGTAGATGGTAATCAATATGGATAAAAAGCAAAAAGTCAACGTCACGCGGTGTTCCCAGGCGGTCACCCATCCAAGTACTGACCGCGCCCGATGTTGCTTAACTTCGGTGATCGGACGAGAACCGGTGTGTTCAACATGGTATGGACGTTGACGAGTATCGATTTAGAAATTAGCTACACAATCAAAACAGCATACAATGTGTAGCATTTTTTTATTCAAACTACATAATATATCAGAATAGAGGGTTTAACAAATCGGTAACATTCGTTTTGCCTTCCGTCGCGCAACGCGCTGACGAGTAATAAAATAACAAAGTCGATAGACAATCATCAGTATAACATGTTATGAAAAAAAAGATGAAACCACGACTTGGGCACCTTATTCTTAGATAAACCAAGAATTACTTTTCATATTTTACATTCATTATCCCGTGAATGTACTGAGAAAAGGTCTACTAGTTTCGAACCACGGAGGGGTTCTTCCTCATGAGCAGTGTGCGCGGTCACGGCATTGTGGAAGAACGCTCATGACGCTCAGTACATTCACGTGAGTAACCCGCGATTTCAGTTAATTTAGTATGTCTCACGATAGTTAATATAAAAATTCATCATCCCCATTTACATTACCTCTACTATTACAATTTTCACAGAACACTTTCCAATGGGCTATCCATCTCTATACGACTATTGTCTGGAACTTACCACCAAGACCTGGGAAGCGTGGGAGTGGCTGGTACCAGAATATGTCCACGACAGAGAGATGAAGTTCCCATCTATACTGGTGCCCACCGTAGACACACTACGACTGACCTGGCTCATCAAGATCATGGAAGGCGTAAGTTTATTGTATACCTTATGTAGTAAAAGTTAAGGTCTATTATGTTTCCAACTATCATGGAGGGCGTGGCAATCAAATTTAATGTACCTTACGCAGTAGATATTTAGGTTTGTTTTGGAAAGTGTCAAAGTATTTGCGAAGAAAAATGAAGTTCCTAGCAATACTAGACACACTGCCTACGGTAGACAATCTATGACTTACCTGACGCATCAAGATCATGGAAGGCGTAAGTTGTAAAATGAACCTTATGTAATAGATATTTGGGTATATTTACCGAAGAAAATTTTTTAAAGAATGGTACTGAAGTATGTGCATAACAGTTAAAATAAAAACGACATACCTACCATACCTACAAAACCCTTGTTGATTTGTTGAATAAAACATTTGGCAGTCATTAAAAAAACAACATTTTTTTTTGGCCTATTTGGCAAACGAGTCTCCGATACGATCTTGTCGACTATACTGCCAGTGTCGAGTGATTTAACCGCTTATCTATGAGACACAATTGAAAACACATTGAGTCTCGCGTATATCTACGTTCCGACATACCACGGATTAAAGCACAAGTCATTACTTATTTGAATTAATCGCAGAAGAATAACTAAATTGCAGAGAATCACCATTAAACCTTTTTTTTGGGACAAGCCCGCCACAACTTCCCAATACCGCTGCAACTCCTTAAGCCAGGATCTACAGTAGATCCACCATTAAACCTGTGAATCATTTTACATAAAAAAAAGAATCTGTTATCTTGTAAATTTAATCTGTATTGTTCTCAATAGGTCGAACGCCCCGTCTTACTGGTTGGTGAAACTGGGACATCGAAAACTGCAATAGTCACCAATTTCTTACGCGGATTACCGCCTGAGAAATATGTAAGTACATGACCATAACTACATTGGATAGTAGTCTTTAATTTCGAGGTCACAACCGTCAACGTCCATACCATGTTGAAGTCGCGGAGAACCTAACGGGTAACCGGGGCTCCGGCTCGACGTGCAGGAGAAGGAACGGGGTGGTTTTTAGTCAGTAAGAGTCTGACACTCCCTCCCGCCTCACCCAGGCGGGGGCAGTCATTCGATGATTTTCCCCCCTTAAAAAAAAAAAAAAAAAAATACCATGTTGAACACACCGGTTCTCGTCCGATCACCGAAGTTAAGCAACATCGGGCGCGGTCAGTACTTGGATGGGTGACCGCCTGGGAACACCGCGTGACGTTGACTTTTTGCATTTTTCTACAACATTATGTGCAATGTTCAAAATTACTAGGCATTAACTTAATATCTATAAATGAAACCTAAATCATTCATTTTATTTACCACGGTTCATAAACACATGCGCATTGCGGAATGGAAAATTAAAATCATATTCTGCGCAATCGCGCATACATATTCACGCGCAAATATGCGTTCAATATTCATTTGCAAGTGAATACAATCAAGCACCCAAACTTGTTTATATTTTTTAGACCACATATTACAGAATTATAACAACTAAATTTTTAATCAAAAGAGAAACAATAATCATTATTCCAAACCCCATGCTATTGGGTACTGATCATAATTCCCATAATAACCCAACACAATAAGCAAACCTCAGCAGTCGCACTTGCGACAATAAACTACACAAACCTATGATGCAATGAGCCGCAGGAGATAAAAAAATATTATCCGCTAACAGCATTTAAAACAATGTCAGTTCCGTATTATGCCTATTGAACAGTGATTGCGAAAGCTCACTCAGCTATTTTAAAACCATGTCACACGCACCGAGGTTGTCTTACGAAAATAAAACTGGTCCTTTCCTTTCATTTGTGAGTGTGAGTCGCTATTTAAGCTACTGTATTCATCGGGGGCGTAGCTCAGATGGTAGAGCGCTCGCTTAGCATGCGAGAGGTACCGGGATCGATACCCGGCGCCTCCAAATTTCTCTTTTTGTGAATTATTCTTTTTTGTTTTGAATAACAATTGATGGTTTTCGGGTAATCTAACTCGGTTGTTTGTTTATTTACAAGTTTATATGTTACTTTTTGTTTTGTTCTATTTTAATGAAAATATTTTACATGTAAATGTTTCATAAAACCTTTTACGTTTATATGCATTTCAAGTAAACTTGTTAAGTTGCCTATATGTAGTAGTTTGCTATTGAAATTAAAAGCTTTTTTACAGACAATTCGCCAAATTAGACACAGTATTTAAGTTAAAATTTAATAAAAAAAATTCAAATTAAGTCGTTAATATATAAAGGGATTAATACAATATTACATTCATACAGTAACTACATACTGTAACGCCGACTTCCCATTGGGGTTGGCAGAGTAAAACATTTTTTTTAATATCCTTCTGGTAGATTATAATAAAACTTTAGCCACATATTTTTTCTTTTCATTTAAAATTGAATACTTTCGGCGATACATTGATTTGTTGTGTGACGTCACCAGATACTACGATTTATAGGAACGTGGGACGTGTCGATCTTCCACTTCTAAACTCAAATCTGTTTTATCTGAGTATTGTTTTCTTGTACCTATAACAAAATAAAAAAAATACGTGTCTTATATTTATTTTATTATCTAACTCGTCAGTTACGGACTATTTTAACCCATTTGGATCTGCCGTCCCCATACGGGGACAGGTCTTCTTTTACCCGCTGGTTATTCATTTTTTTAGCTATCTTCAATTTTCATTATTATTTTTTATGAGGAGTAGTGTGCTTTCCTAAAATTATTAGAAGTTTTGACAAATTGCTACAAAAAGGGGGTCATATTGACAATTTTATCAAGAGGAAGTGAAATGGGAATTATTATCGAAAGCAGAGCCGTTTTATAGTATGTTACTATGAAGAATTATAAAACTTTTTTGTGATTATTGCTTGCTTATAGTGTCATTTAAAACAATATTGAAGAATATCCTTATACTTTCAATTCCGCTTAGGGGAAAGTTAGAAAATATTATGATGTCCCCGTTTGGGGACAATGGGCACATCTGTAGTTTATTTTTAAAACATTTATACCTGATTTGTATTTTGTTTTCCAATTTATAAAGGTCACCTATAGGCTAAACTTAGTTATAGCTAATACTTGGTGACTACATACGCTAATTCACGAAAAGCATCACCAATCCTATATCAAGTCTTATCTTTACGCGTTCATATTTAAAATCTGATGGGCATCAAGATCGACGATGCAGAACTCCATCTACAGTACCAGGCGTCGCATCCGATATCAGAATTCAGCGGTAGGGGGCATTTCCTCCAGCTGTATTCTGGTGTCGCCACAGCGAGGTCCACCCAGAGGATAGAGTAGCATTATGCCCTGTATACATTGAGCACCACCGTCTCCTCCGGGAAGTGATCGATGACGATAATCTTCAACGTCCAGCTTTGGTTCTGGTGGTGCGGAGCGAGGGGGGAACTGGAAAACCATCGCTTTCTGCGAAGCAGTCATAGTAGCAAGAACAGATCGCCGCCCAGAACCAGACCTGAACCTATAAGGCGCGTGGCGTTACGCGCGCGCTTCAAAGTGCTATCAGACCGCCTTAGATCGAGATGGCTCAGTAGGACAGATGCCCGACCACTATGAATAACCTAGTGGGTCACCGGGGCTTCGGCTTGAAGCAGAATTAGGAACGTGTTGGTTTTAGCCAGTAAGAGCCCCCAGATGAAAAACGCAATGCATGATTTTTACCCGCAAAAAAAAATACAGGCGCGTCACATCAAATTGATTTAGACATTTTCCGCAGAGATTTAGTTAATATCTGTTCCGACACGCAATTCTTCATAAAAAAACTGTGATATCAATGCAAATAATGCGTTAGAACCTTATGTGTCGAAAACAGTTACTACTTCGAAAGTACTACACATGAGCCCATTGTCCCCAATCAAGGACGGCATTTTTTTTAATACTTCTAAATATATTTTTTAAATTTTTTTTGCTGATATTAGTTTGTGGGCGTCATTTCATTGAGTTAATAAAGTTTTTTTTATTAAATTATGTGTAGTTTGCATTTGGTCCCAAATGAGTTAACTATCAACTACCTCATTCTAGCATTTATCATCACTATCATCATATTTATTTATTAATACTTTATTGCACACGCAGAAAAATGTAAACTATTACATTATACTATTAATTTGAGTACAATAAGCTTAGGTATCACACGCGGCGATTCCTTCCAGACAATCTTTGGATGGAATTTTTGAAAAAGAATTTGGGAGCGGGTGGTAGGTGAACAAAAATGTAATAGTAAACAAAAATCCAATATCATATTAGCTACAAGACCTCCATTATTGAACAAAGCCATCCCCATTGACAATGAATTCTGGCATTAAACCTATACAGTCGCGGAGAACCTAACGGGTTACCGGGGCTCCGGCTCGAAGTGCAGGAGAAGGAACGGGGTGGTTTTTAGTCAGTAAGAGTCTGACACTCCCTCCCGCCTCACCCAGGTGGGAACAGTCAATCGATGATTTTCCCCCCTTAAAAATAAATTAAACCTATACAAACAGTGTGTACATATATCTATACAAACAGTGCAATCAGCGCTACTATGTACTTACCTATTTCAATTGCTGCTATTGTTTTCTTTTAATTTGGTTGCTATTACTAAACAAACCATTGTGATTTGCAATCAGACCAGCTTTTGTTTATTTTATTTAGTCAAATGTTCAGTATTACCTACAGTCAAATTGTTAGCTATTGTTTAGTGATTTGCCGCTAAAAATACTTTTATTTATTTGAGTACCTACCCTGAGTTAGTTTTAAACGATGTCTGTATACGGTTAAATAGCATGCGTGCATGTTTGAAATATGTTTTAAAATGAATAGACTATAATGTATATGATAGATATTGAAGAACAAAGATGATGCTAAGATGAAAATATATATATTTTTGAATATGTAACAACTCGTTTGTTTCCTAAAGGTCATATAAAGAACATAAAAGTAGATACCTACTGACTGGCGCATTTGGCTCTATAATTGATAGCATATTATAGTAGATAGTAGTCTTTAATTATGACTCTTCTTTCGTCAACGTCCATACCATGTTGAACACACCGGTTCTTGTCCGATCACCGAAGTTAAGCAACATCGGGCGCGGTCAGTACTTGGATGGGTGACCGCCTGGGAACACCGCGTGACGTTGACTTTTTACTGTTTATTTGTTTATCTTGTTTGTAAATAGCCTAAGTACACTTCCAACACCAGATGTATCACGAATGCGTTGAAGACCTTACTTTTTGCGCTATGATACACGAGAAAGAGTGCTTTCTGAAAATGTACTCTCAATTAAAGAGACTTATGGTCGTTTTTACCATCATTATCACCAGTCACAAGACGTCCACTGTTGAACATCCTGCGACCTTAGTCAACCTTTCTTAAATTTCATCGACCCCTTAACTCATCCTTACTATGCTTACTAATATTATAAATCGGAAAGTGAATTTGTTTGTTTGTTTGTTCTGCTGTCACGCCGTAACTACTAAACCGATTGCTTTGATTTTTTGCAGACGTAAAGTCGGAAGTCTGGATTAAATAATAGGGTACTTTTTATCCCGGAAAAATTTGATATTCCCAAGGGAAAACAAAAGTATTGGTATAGATGGCGCTGTGTGTATTGGTATTTGTCGCATAGGCTACTTTTTGTCCTTTTGTGGCGCGAGCGAAGCCGCGGGTAAAAGCTAGTTATACATAGGTGATACTCAAACCTATAAGTGACACCTAATAGTACAGAAAAAGGTGTTAGTTTAGGTGCTCTTAGCCCTAAGGAACTCTTAGTTAAGAGACGGTTTAAGGATGGGTGGTGAAAACAGTCATTTAACATTTTCTAATATACTTTGAATATTCACAGTTGGTCCAACAAATGAACTTCTCATCGCGAACATCATCGATGGATGTACAGCGCAACTTGGAGTCGGTGGTGGAGAAGCGAACGAAGGACACCTTCGGTCCACCAGTGGGGAAGAAGATGCTGGTCTTCATTGATGATATGAATATGCCTATTGTAAGTAGTGTGTTGGCTAATCTATCTTATAATAGGTACCTAAGTTTTACGTTAAGGCGCAGTGTATGGGCTGCGCAACGTGTCTAGATGCAGGTCTAATTGGGACCCTATAGAGATTAAACAATGTTTTATCTCCCATTTTTATGGACCGCAGCATTGCTTAGATACTTCGTAAGCAATGTGTTTTATTATCATAAATACACTTATGATACGCAAAACAAAATTATGACAGCTCTTGACAAAATTAATGGTTGGAGGCGCCGGGTATCGATCCCGGTACCTCTCGCATGCTAAGCGAGCGCTCTACCATCTGAGCTACGCCCCCCATGTGTACAGTCAGCAAAACAAGCCATTTATTGTGCACTTACACAACCTTTCCATAAAAATACATTCACTTTTCCTTGAAGAATTAAAACAAAATAAAATTTGGAGGCGCCGGGTATCGATCCCGGTACCTCTCGCATGCTAAGCGAGCGCTCTACCATCTGAGCTACGCCCCCGATGTGTACAGTCAACAAAACAAACCATTTCTTGTGCACTTTAACAATGTCTCAATAAAAAAAACATTCACTTTTCCTTGCAAAATGAGAAAAAATATTTGGAGGCGCCGGGTATCGATCCCGGTACCTCTCGCATGCTAAGCGAGCGCTCTACCATCTGAGCTACGCCCCCCATATATACAGTTAGCAAAATAAACTATCTTATATCGCCTATTAATATATGAACAAAAGACATTGACATTTACCTTGAGGGCAAATTATTGGAGCAATTGTACAATACACATTGACATAAACCGGTTTTGTAATTTAGTGGACACCGTTCTGTCGAGCTAGTTGTTGCAGTGAAAGTGTTACATGGATAACCATGGATTGGCTTATTCTGTTCTATGCTTGGCATATTCTAATTAAACACTGACTATACCTGCCCTGTCATAGACTTGACGTAATGTCTATGAAAGTTGACACTGAGAAAAGGGCGAACCAATAGATAGACACACTAAAAACCATTTTTTTTATTTGATGGGCCGACTTTGGACCTCTATCGCACCTGGTGGTAAGCGATGATGCGGTCTACCGTGGGAGCACGTCGTCCCATAAGCAGCCTATTCACTCGGGCCTTGAAGACACCCAGGTTATTTATACACTCTGGCAAAGAATTCCACTCCTTAGCAGTACGCACAAGGAAGCTTGATACGAAGCGCTTCGTGCGTGTGGGTGGGACATCTACCATGAATCGGTGACGCTTCGCCGATTGTCTTGTGGTACTATGATGGAAAAGATTCGCGTTCCGCGCGCGCCTCAAAGAGCAATCAGACCACCACGGATGGGGCTCAATAGGGATGATGTCGATACGGAACCGCGGAGAACCTAACGGGTTACCGGGCCTCCGGCTCGACGTGCAGAAGAAGGAACGGGGTGGTTTTTAGGCAGTAAGAGTCTGACACTCCCTCCCTCCTCATCCAGGCGGGAGCAGTCATTCGATGATTTTCCCCCCCCTTTAAAAATAGCTTACTTTTGTATGAACAAATGTTGTGGATCTTTCATAATCGTACATACATCGATACACAAGTTAGTGATGTGCTATTGTGGTATATAGGAATGTGTGTTCTGTAGGGGCAGGTTAGGTCTGTGTTTTTGCCTATCCCCATGAGACATATGACATATTTAAATTAAAATATTTAAAACACGCATATGATTTTAATATATCATGTACATATGTGTATAATACACGTAATTATCGGTTAACACTGGTTTGGACAATTACGTGTTACACTAACTTATAACTTGCTTTGTAATTTTGCTGACGGTGATAAATATTTACTTAGTTGGAAAGCAAGATACAATTATAGTGTTAATACACATCGGGGGCGTAGCTCAGATGGTAGAGCGCTCGCTTAGCATGCGAGAGGTACCGGGATCGATACCCGGCGCCTCCAAATTTTATTTTGTTTTAATTCTTCAAGGAAAAGTGAATGTATTTTTGTGGAAAGGTTGTATAAGTGCACAATAAATGGCTTGTTTTGCTGACTATACACATCGGGGGCGTAGCTCAGATGGTAGAGCGCTCGCTTAGCATGCGAGAGGTACCGGGATCGATACCCGGCGCCTCCAACCCTTTTAGCATTTTTATACTCACATGTGTGTACAATATTGGAATATGTATCAGAGCAGTGACGAAAGAGTAACGAATGGAGTTTCTTGCTCGTTCTTCTCCACTCGTATCGACATTTTGGAACGAGCGCCTAGCTTCACTGACAGACAGACAGACTATAATTTATTTCATATTTGTTGACGTTTCAAAAGTACCAAATTATGGTTTAATTGAAATAAATGCTTTTGACTTTGAGTATACAATTTTTTCTACAATTTTATTTTTTCAGTACTTTTCAGAATTATCTTATTGTGATAGTTTCGCCAAATCGTTACTTCTATAAATAATTATATTCATAATGGTCATATACAATCTTCCTAGGTGGACAAGTACGGGACTCAGCAGCCCATAGCTCTGTTGAAGCTGCTCTTTGAAAGGAAAGGTTTCTACGACCGCGGCAAGGACCTCAACTGGAAGAACATCAAGGACGTAGGATTCCTAGCTGCTATGGGGAAAGCTGGTGGTGGAAGAAACGATGTGAGTTTGTGTCACTTCTAATTTTAAAACTTAAAATACGAAGAGAGGTATTGTCGCTGGATATGCATTTAATTTTAAAGGTAATTAAAAATATTGGTTGTAATGCTGTATAATAAAATATAATTTACTAAATTACTAAAAATGGTAACTGTTAATTCCATTTTGAAAGTATATCTATGGAAAGGGTGGACTAAAGATACTCCAATGAAAAACAATATTTACAACAACTTTAACAGAGATATATATAACATCACGCCTTTTATCCCTGAAGGGGTAGGCAGAGGTACACATTACGGCACTTAGTGCCACTGTACAATGTAACACCCACTTTTCACTTTTATGGTATGAGTCCCATGTATTAGAAGGTGAGCCTATTGCCATATAACGGGCACAATTCCAGACTACGTGCTACTACTGAGATTTTATTTACAAACCCAGTAATTTTTTACCCGACCCGGGAATCGAACCCGAGACCCCTTACCCGGCAGTCGCACTTGCGACCACTCAGCCAACGACGCAGTCATACAGAGATTTACATGTTGAGTTTGTGCTGCTCATCTTAAACCGAATCTAGTTTAGCAAATAATATATAGCAAGCGGATCAAGAATTTTTGAACGAATGTTGTCTCCCATCTGGCCCACAGGTGGACCCTCGCTTCATATCAATGTTCTCAGTATACAACCTGCAGTTTCCATCAGAGAACACATTACGTCATATCTACGTGTCCATCCTGAAGGGACACTTCGACATCTTCCCTGAAGACATACAGAACATTGTTGACAAGATCGTGCAGATGACCTTGGATTTGTATAAGGTTTGTATTTCAGTAATTTTAACTGTCAGGCTGTAGTGTTAGTCAAAATTTATCATAACAAAACATAACAGTACGCATTTTTATCCCCAAAGGAGTAGCCATGGTGCACATTACAGCACTTTATGACACTATACAATATATCACCAACAATAACCCTTTGTTTTATTAATATGTTTTCGGTTTACTCACGTAACTGTTTGATGAAGAACTCGACTAGTTTCAAGCCATGCTAGAGGCTCAGTTTGAAACTAGTCGAGTTCCTGGATAAACAGTTACGTAAGTAAGCCGAAACAAAATGATGAATTTGGGATGTCTCACGAAAGTTATAATACCAAACCCTTCTTTTTGGTAAATAGAAAAACTTGATAATTCTTATTTTAAACATATTTGTCATATAGAACTGAAGAGTCTAATTTTAAAATAATCAATATCTTACTACTAAGTTATAATTTTTATTCTCACTGTTTTTAACAAGTGATAAGCGTATACTGAGCAAAGTTTCAGCCTTGAGCATAATTTGCCTATTAATTTAATTGAAATTGCTTAGGTACTGAATATTTCAAAATCATCGAACTTTTAACATACAGGTTATAAACGAAACGCTTCTGAAAACGCAGATATTTTTTAATAGTTTTAATAGTTTTGTTTTCGTGTTATTTATCCAACATCAGCCTTGAACAGTTGATTACAACTATTATTATTACATTAAAAAGTATATTAAGTAATACATTAATTCCTTAAAATAGTAGGTACTTGTTTTTTTACCATCATCTGTCTTCATTTTTTGAAAGCGTTCTCATTACACCCTGTATAGAGTTGCGCTTTTAAACCAGAAGATTTATTCTTCTAACACATGCCTTATAATTCAATTCTCCATACAGATAATAATAGTGGACCTGCCCCCAACGCCGACGAAGTTCCACTACATATTCAACCTGCGCGACCTGTCCCGTATAGCGGCGGGCATGTGTCTCACACACCCCAACTACTTCAGTGAGAAGCGATGCGTTGTACGGTGCTGGAGGAACGAGTTCACTCGAGTCATATGTGACAGACTCATTAGTACACAGGTCACTTTGTAACTCATACAAATATATTATTTATTTAAACTTTAATGTACACAGAAACAAGTGATAGTACATAAGGCGGACATATTATGGCACTCCCAGTCAAACTGGGTTAATATTCCCTGGGTTTATAACCAAGTCAATATTATTATTATTCTTTACTACTTGACCAGCCAAACTTCATACCACCTCAATCATATTTTTTCTCAACTTCTAAACTTTCCCTGGAGTTCTATAAATAATTCGAACCAAATTTAGCCAAATCGGTTCAGTCGTTTTCGAGTTCTAGGGAGATTAACGAACAGGATTTCATTTTTAAATATGTGTATAAATATAAAAACATAAATATAAAAACTGTAACTCTCACACTGTCTAAGTCTAAATAAAATACTTTTCAATCAGGACAATGATTTAATGCGCGAGCACATCCACGAGCAAGTGGTGAAGTACTTCCCGGAGGAGGAGCCAGTCGTACTCGAGGAGATAGTCGTGCCAGAGGAGGAAATCAGGAATGAGGAGGATGAGGAAGTTGATGGTATACTACTATATTATCATATCTATACAGGGGCTTCCGTTTTGGCCACTAGATGGCGCAAATCTAGCAAGAAGTTTGTTGTCCAATCACTGCAGATATTGAACCTCCAATGGTGTGACTAGCTAATTCCCTATTGGACGAAACTCGAAACGTTCACACTAGCGCCGTCTGATTAGCAAAAGTGCAGCGTCTAAACGGAAAACAGAGGCCTTAGCACAAGTTTGTCTTACGTTTAAAGTATTCGTAACGAGACTTCGTTCGGTGCTCTAATTGGTTGGTTTATTGGCGTCCGCCAATCAGAGTGCCGAACGCGTACTCGTTTCGAATACTTTAAGCGTAAATCAAACTCAGCCTCTGAACGCTTCTGAAAGCAGTTATTGTTACCATCACCATCATCATAAGCATCAACAGCCCCTTGAGGTTCTACATCTGAACTACGATAAGACCAGTAACTTCACTCATGGCTACATTTAACGCAAGCGTTGTTTCACGTCTGTACTGTTAGGCCGTGGTATCACGAACATCGAACCTGCCCAACAGTGCCGGGCTTTCTACATGACGTATTTCTTTTTTTTTTTGTTTGCAATTCGACGTTTGTCTTTTAAGAATATTATTACAGACTCACACCCGAATTACTGGAAGGCTACTCAATTTTAAATCGTGTTTAATTATAGTTCTGTCTCTACAAATTCCTTATAAAATGACAGAGACGGCATGATATTTAAGTACAACTTAAAATTGAGTAGCCTTTCAGTATTCGGGCGTTGTACCTACTTATAACAAAATATAATTTAAATGTTCCCAAATTCTTGGAATATTATCAGCTATGTGTTGTTCAGAATTAGGCATGATACCTGAACAGAAACAAGAGCCAGAGATGGCAGTTCCTGAAATGGTTGAGGAAGAAGAAGAGATCGAGCCTGAACACGAATATACGGTAAAGACAATTTTTTATTTCAGCCACGTATTATGAAACTGTTTGTGTGCCTGAATTCCCACTTTAAGTGAATGAATACATATATTAAAATTTAAGACTCATTCTTGTGCATGACGTGGTCCTCATTTCCTTTCTTGGAAGGTTCTTTTTTGGACAAAAGAAGTGGTTCTACTCCGCACATTTTATACTTACCAAAAATCATAAAGCCAACCAAACATTTTATGTTTCAATCTTTCATTTTTTATCAGACCATCTTGCAATTACTGGGCCTTTAGCCAAACGCCACTTTATCGCTTGTCTACAGAGAGAGTAGAAATCAAAATGTACGAGGATGACACTGACAAATGTCAAAATTTACGTCAATTCCATATAATTTGGTTTTCTATTCTACATGTAGACAAGCGCTAAATGGCATTTGGTTACAGCCGCTGATTTGTAAAATTCGAAAAATACTTCATTAATTACCTATATTATTTGCAGTTGGAAGAGTACGTGTTCCGCGATCCACTGTTGTTCGGAGACTACCGCAACGCTTTAGATGAGGAGGAGATCAGATACTATGAAGATCTGCTCGACTATGAAGCTGTCTACTTCTTGTTCCAAGAGGCAAGTCTCTTTGCATGACTAATTTTTATATTCTTGGTGTACTTTTGTTTTTATTTTAGAATTTTGGTCATTCAGCGATCTAGAATTTGACAGTTTTTGTCCTTAAAGTGTAGGTAATAATAGTGTAGGTAATTTCGACTTACTTTACATTTGAATCACAAAGATTGAAGTTTAAATGTAATTCGTATTATTCTTCCGACCGACGGTATCGGAGAATTTGCCTTAAATATTTTTTATTGGCAGTCAAAGCCTTAAAGGAGCTTTGCTATAACCCCCACGTCCTATTTCACCCTTGCTTTTACTACAAACACTATTATCGTTAAAATAAAATACTCAATGTAAGCGATTTCCACGCAGATCCTGGACGAGTACAACGACCGTATCGGCAAGATGTCGGTGGTACTGTTCGAGGACTGCTTGGAACACTTGACGCGAACACACCGTATACTGCGCATGGACCGCGGGAACGCTCTCATCATCGGCGTCGGTGGCTCCGGGAAGAAGTCCATCTGTAGACTCGCTTCTTTTGCTGCTGGTAAGTAACCAATCATCAACAGCATATAAGTGGTCAATTCTGACCAAAGGCCCCTTCTCACACGAAGGAGGTTTGAGCAATAATTTATTTAGACTTAGTACAAAAACATATGTACAGGTAGACTTAATGCCTTGGGCATTGTCTTACAGTCAACCTTAAAGTGGTGCAGTAATCACAACGATTACTCAATGCAAGTTGACAATATCAAACTTATTATTGTAAATTATAAGCCATTAAGATTTCCTCCTAATGTTTTGTTTCACCGTTTATTAGAAGTTTATGTATAACGGACCGTCTCGTGATGTATGTTTTTCCAAAATATTGTCTATATCCAATAGGGTGCGACACATTTGAGATTGTAATTACTCGCAATTACAACGAGAACACGTTCAAAGATGACATGAAGCGGTTGTACAACGCGCTCGGATGTGATAATAAGAAAACTGTCTTCCTATTCACTGCTGCACAGGTACGTTAAATAATTTTATAATAGTGTAAATGACTATTTTTTTTTTTCAATGTCCGTCTGGTAGGTTGTTATAAAACATTCGATTGTATTTTTTATTTTCTAACCAAAATCAAAAACACTATTTTCACGGTTTAAAACGATCAAATTTATCATATCATATCAACCTCTACTCCAAACTTTCAAGTTTATTCATTGGATTTTCGACTTTATATGTCAATATAATAAAGTTAACATCCTTAACTTTACATATGAAAAACTTAAATAGAGAAATTTTACAGAAAAGCATAGGTTGACCTGCTAGCCGTAAGTACTCTACAGTTATATGACGTCATTTATAATTCGTTACATTCTCTTTAGATCATAGAAGAAGGTTTCCTGGAGTTCATCAACAATATTTTGATGATCGGAATGATTCCCGCTTTGTTTGGTGACGATGAGAAAGATGCCATCATTAATACTGTACGCGCTGCTAGTGATGAAGCTGGATTTGGAGTTGGCAAGTTAGTACGATTTTGAACCTTATTTCATACTTATTAAGGGATTATTTTGGTTATATTTGGCTTTTTGTCTAAATACCTCTGCGTGACTTACTAAAAAGTTGGTTACTAAAGTAATGGTTCATTCATAAATACCATTTTGGTGATTGACAGCTGTGTGAACGGCGTGTACGCTGTTCATAATTAAGGGCCCCGGTGTGGCTCGAAAATAGTTGGGCAATGCCGAAATAGTATACATAAATAAGTTGTATAATATTTAGTTACGTTGACTTGCTATACACGTGAACATTTTGTATTACTCACACAATTATCGTTATTTCAGAGATTCCGTATGGCACTTCTTCTGCTCGAGATGTGCTGAAAATCTTCACGTAGTACTATCCATGTCTCCTAGCGGTGACATATTGAGGAACAGGTATTTAACAATAATGAGTTTAAAATCAACCAAGTAACATTTTAACTAATTTCTAAGGAAAAAAGAAAAGAGGTTCTCAATTCGTAGGAATTTGTGTTTATGAGTATCTTTATTACCCAATTACGTCAAAACGGCTATAGGGATCGGGATGAAATTTAAAACATTGGTAGATTATGGTCTGGAATAACACATAGGCTACTTTTGGCGACGAGAATGCAGGCGAAGCCGCTGGCAGAAGCTAGTTTAGTTATAATTTTCACAATCGGACTATGAAACTTTTTTGGAATCGCGTCTTAATTCAAAATATTAGAATTTGGAGCTACGTACTAAAATACTCGATACTAAAAAAAATTATGTTGGAACCTTTTTGAAATGACATCTTGATTCAAAATATTAGAATCTGGAGCTACGTACTAAAATAGTCGATACCTACTAAAGAAAATAATGTCAAATTAATAATATTGTTGTTTTACGTCCAGGTGTCGTAGTTTCCCCGGGCTAGTGAACAATACCACGATCGACTGGCAGTTCCCGTGGCCCAAGCAGGCGCTGTTAGCTGTCGCCAATGTATTCCTTGCCGATGTAAGTAGTTCAGTAATTTGGTGGTTCTACCTCGAATGTTTTCCGGGAGTTTTGAAAATCGGAAATTTTATAGATTTTGATGTACTCTTTCTGATTTCCATTTTACACCTTTGCGTGCGCCCAAAAAATGGCGGCCAAAAACAGTTATGTTTTTTCAATATCTCTTTTTCTGTACATTTAACACGTTAAACACATGGGGGTCACCGGTGACCGGCGTTAGCGGAGGATTTACCTTCAACAGTTTTTTATTGGCAGTCTTAACGACAAAACCGTTAACTACGAAATTAAACTACTCACATTTTTCTATAATTTATGTCTGCTTTTGATTTTATATGTAGTTTTGGCGCCAGAGCATTGCAAAGAACATTTTTATAAGCACACGCGAATTCAAAGTTATGATTAGAAATTATAAATTTGAATTCGAATCGTCACGATTTTAGACTGTTATTTCTTTATTTGTTGATGTTTCAAAGGTGGTCAATGTACCAATACGTATGTACAATTGGCTAGTTTCGTAGGTTAAAAATAAATTGTCGCAACTTTTCAATGCAATAAATAATTAAAAATAAAAATCATACTCTCATCCATTGATTTGACACTTTACCTACTTTTGGATGAAGTATGCTATTTGACGTAGAAATATGATGACGTCAGAAGTTGCGATCCAATACAAAATTCATAGAAAATTATCGTTTTTCACATTTCAATGAAAGTATTGAATTTGACTACCCGTCAACTACCGTATTATGGTTTATTTGAAATAAATGCTTTGACTTTGACTTCCCATTTCTCAACAGGACGTAATCATAATATCTAATTATAATCAAACTCCTTAATCTCACGCAGGTAGAGAAAATCCCAGAAGAGTTTCGCCCAATAATAGTAGAGCACGTAGTCCACGTACATATGTCCGTGGCGCACTACTCACTGGATTTCTTACTGCGTCTGCGCAGGAACAACTACGTCACGCCCAAACATTACATGGACTTCCTCACTAATTACTTGTCGTTGCTGAAGGAGAAAGATGCTTTTATTGTTGCTCAGGTATGTTTTACATCATCATCACCATTATCATAATTACCACAAAAGTTTATCAAGGTTGGATATGAATTTATCCGATGGCACCTATTAATCTTCTACTGAATTTTATAGCCATTGCAATAGTTTATCTATGATCCCCTTCCCCCTTTATAGGAACACACCCCCTCCCCCTCTTTGCATTAGAGAAATTTCTCTTGGATTTTAGTCTTATCTTATATTTTATTACATAAGCTGAAGAGTTAGTTTATTTAAACGCACTAATCTCGGAAACTATTGGTCCGATTTGAATAATTCTTTTGTTTTGGATAGTGTATTTATTAAGGAAGGTTATAGGCTAAAATATCACGGTACGATTAAGGGGAGCCGAGCAGAGCGAGTGTAACCGCAAGGAAATAGCTAATTAAATATAAAGAAAATAAACTTAGGCTTAACCAGTAATCCGTCAATACACAATTTGTATGTCTATCTTATAGCGTTAATACAAAGGCTTAAGGACTATTTTTGCAATAATTCATTACTTTACAGTGCGAGCGTTTGATCGGTGGATTAGCTAAGATTGAAGAAGCCAATGTTCAACTCGAAGACTTGAACGCCAAGCTTGCGATACAGAAAGTTATTGTAGCTGAACAGACGAAAGAATGTGAGACATTACTCGCTGAGATCTCGAAAGGTTGGTTTTTTTATATTCATGATCATTGTCATAAAAAATATAAGTCGTCCATTGTATAGTCTACCATTCCCTCGGATCTCATGATGATTTATGACATGCTAAGGCCAATAGTCAGAGTCGACCTGGCAGGGATCAGCCCTGCACATCATCTTTTCTGAAAAACCAGAGACCTTAATACGAGCTTGTTTTATGTTGCAAGTACCGCACGGTTGGTGCGGTGGCTGGGCAACAAGCTGCCGTGCAGCGTGCTGCAGGTTCGATTCCTGCACGGAACAACACTTAGTGTGATCCACTAATTGTTGTACAACAAGGAACAACACTTAGTGTGATTCACTAATTGTTGTTCCGGGTCTGGTGTCATTTGTATGTGAATTTGTATGTTTGTAAACGCACCCACGACACAGGATACAATCCTAGTGTGAAACGTGTACGCGTTCAGTACTCTGATTGGTTAGTTCATTGGGGCTGGCCAATCATAGCGCCGAACGCGGTCTCGTTACGATTACTTTCAACGTAAAACGAACTCGTACTACGGCCTCTGTTTATCATGATCCCATTTTGTATGATGTTTCCGTGCATTCAACGGTTTATTTAGACTGGTTAGTACACACAAAAGTGAACCTACATAGTACATTCCGCCCCTCTTTACAGCTACAACCGCAGCGACAGCAAAGCAAACAGTAGCGTCCATAAAGTCAGCAGAGATCACGGAGCAGAGCAAAATAATATCTGAAGAGAAGGCGGAGGCCGAGGAAGTATTGTCAGCAGCACTACCGGCCTTGGAAGCTGCCAGGCTCGCTCTAGCTGACCTTGACAAGAATGATATCACTGAGATCCGATCTTTTGCCACGCCTCCTGAGGCTGTGCAGGTTAGTTGTACCTTTGATTTTGAGCCCATAGGAGCAGAAAAGATCACCTGATACTAAGAAATCTGCGCCGCACATGGACCCTTAATTTTATATACTATAGAAATTCCAAGCGCCCTGCCGATTTTATAGGGGAGATTGGGTCTCTAGTGACGTCACTCACACGGTTCCTCATGAGGCTTTAGTTGTTTCTCGCTGGGTTTCGGACTGGCCGTGGTGTCACTTCATCAATGCCGAAACATGGTTTTCACATGTTTGATTTACATAACATTACGCCTTTTATCCCCGAAGGGGTAGGCAGAGGTGCACATTATGCCACTGTACAATGTAACACCCACTTTTCACTATTTATGTTATGACTCCCATGTAATAGGGGGTGAGCCTATTGCCATATACAGGGCACAAATCCAGACTCCGTGCTACTATTGAGATTTTTTTTAATAACCCAGTAATACTTTGCCCGACCCGGGAATCGAACCCGAGACTCCTTGCCCGGCAGTCGTACTTGCGACCACTCGGCCAACGAGGCAGTCACGTTTGATTTGTATCGTAAAATGAGACTTTTATGATATTTATATTTTTGGTCATTGTTTTTTAAAACCCAGTGTATAGTTATAATATTGTCAATTCACAGGTGGTCTGCGAATGTGTAGCAATAATCCGAGGAGTGAAGGACATAAGTTGGAAGGGAGCCAAGGGTATGATGGCGGACCCCAACTTCCTCCGCAACCTGCAGGAAATGAACTGCGACCTCATCACACAAGGACAGGTCAAGGCTGTCAAGACACATATGAAGAAGAGCAAGAAACTTGATACTATGCAGCAAGTCAGTAAGGCTGGGTGAGTTTTGATTCTTACGTGTAAAGGTAAAAAGTTGATATTTGCTCACACACCTTAATGCTATGAAACCGTGATCGGTCGGTTTACAAGAAAGTTGGAAATCTATTGAAAAGTTTTTATAAATAATTCAAAATTAAATAGTTTTTTTTTAATAATGTTTTTAAAATAACTATCGTGAGATACATATATTAAACTGTCAAACACCGCGAGAACACCAGTCCTCGCGGTGTTTGACAGTTTAATATGGGCTCGCAGTGAAAGTAACAACAACTATGCAAGCGCTAACGCTTGCCAGTAGGCTGCGTGACATCGCCGCGACCGCGCAGGTTGCTTATGAGGAAGAGCCCCTCTGTGGCTCGAAACTAGTAGAGTTTTTCTCAGTGTGTACACGTGTGTTACCCGCGATTTTTAGTTATTTCTTTTACCATCTCATTTTGTCGTATACTTTATTACACATTTATTGTCACTAAATTGCTAAAGCTCTTCTTATCTGTAATATTGTGGTATGATTGCTCTACATATAAAAAAATATATAATACTATCTTCCAGCTACGGCCTCCTAAAATTCGTAATCGCCGTACTTGCATACTGCGCTGTTTACAAAGAAGTTAAACCAAAGAAGGAGAAAGTGGAAGCTTTAGAAAAGGAATATACGGAGGCATGTAATTATTTAGCGTCATTAAACCGCGAGATAGATCGGTTACAACGTACACTAGACGGACTGAACCGTAAGTACGAGACCGCGATGCTGAGAAGACAGGAACTGCAGGAGGAAACTGACATCATGATGCGACGGTAAGTGTTTATATCTTACTAGCTTCTGCCCACGAATTCGTACGCGCAATTCCGTTTCCTCCCCTTTCCCGTAGGATATTTAGATATTTTTTCTGTCTTAAAAACTTTCACCTAATAATAACAAATACATCAAAAAAAGAATTAGTGAATTCGGTTCAGCCATTCACGCGACTATGGAACTCATAATTGGCATTAAGTGCCGTAATGTCCACCTCCCTTCGGAGATAAAAAGGCGTGATATTATGTTATGTAATGTTGTACTAACTAAATGCACTCTTCATCAAGGTTAATCGCAGCAGACAAGCTAATGTCAGGTCTATCAAGCGAACAAAAGCGTTGGACAGAAGATTTAGCAGCGTTGTACGTGGAACAATCACGTTTGATCGGCAATTGTCTTCTATCAGCTTCGTTCTTGAGCTACGCCGGCCCTTTCTCCTTCTCGTTTAGACAGACCATGATATATGAAGACTGGTTGGGCGATGTCCTCGAACGAGGGATCCCGTTAACCACTCCATTCACCATAGAGAAGAATTTGACTAATGAGGTCGAGATTAGTGGGTTGGTATTGTTTTTTATAATGTGTACAATGTGTGTGAAGTTTTGTTGTAACTTTAAAATGGGTGAAATAATGTCAGCATAGCTATGCACTATACAGGTAAGAAAAAAAAGATTGATTCAGTACAGAAACTGTAACTACCGGTTGGCTACTGAACCGACCAATGGTTACAGAAGATGTGGTTTGGTTAAAAACTATATAATCTTATCGTGTTATATAAAGCAGAATAGTTTATTTTTTTGTTTGTTTGTTTGAACGCGCTAATCTCCGTAACTACAATTCTGATTTGAATAATTCTTTTTGTGTTGGATAGCGCATTTATCGAGGATGGCTATAGGCTATAAAACACCACGCTACGACCAATAGGAGCTGAGCAGAGCGTGTGAAACCGCGCGGAAGTAGCTAGTTCTGTATAATTATAGCTACTGTCTCCGTAGTACGTCAATCTTACCTGCCAAATAAAAATACGACCCTTACTCTACGCTATATACTGCTAAAGTCTATTGAGATTTATAAAAAACGATTCTTCTGTTCTGCTTATACAATATTTCAAGCTTTTTCTATGAGATGATTAATTTTATTGGACATTGCACAATAAATTTAACTTACTAATTAACTATTTCAGTTGGAACTCCGAAGGTCTACCTCCAGATGAGCTGTCAGTTCAGAACGGCATACTCACAACGAGGGCCTCCCGATTTCCGCTCTGTATCGATCCTCAAACACAAGCTCTATCGTGGATCAAGAGGAAGGAGACCAAAAATAATCTTAAGGTACGTTGTCTAATTTTATTTATCTTATAAGAAAACTAGCTTCTTCTTCACTTGCTTACCAGCATAAGAAATATTCTATACTATCTTTCACAATATAATCGGTGTCTGTATTCTTTACTATAATGCGTTGTATCTGAATACATTGTATAGATATAAATTAAAATAATACAAATAAATTGTGGAATGAATCTGAGATTCATTCTACAATTGATTGATTAAGATTAAGTGTGATTGAATAAGAAACATCCATCGACGATTGCGCATTTATTATGTCTTTATCTGTCATAAATAAAACACCTTTTTCGTTGAAGGGGGGCTACCGTTTATTTTCTCACCAGGTGCTTACAAAAGTATCAAGAAGGTTTTTTGTCCAATCACTAGAGCTGTCAAATATTTATCGTCTAATGGTGTGAGACTAGCTGATGCCCTATTGGACGAAAATCGAGAGGTTTACTAGTGCCATCTAATGAGCAAAAATACAATACCTCCCATAGCAATCTCCAAATCTCCTATCAAAAGAGAAAATTATGGCAAACCTTCTTCTTCGTAAATTTCCGTGCGTTTAGTCGCTTTAGTATAACAGCTCACACATAGGACCCACTTAGTTTTTAGTCAAATTCCCGTGGTGCTTGGCGACTGGCTTCGCCCAGTTGTACAGCTTTTTTTTTGTGCCTTTAGGCTTAATTCATTCTGTCTCCTGCAATAATTCAACGAGGGAAGTGGAAACTATCGTTTTTTTTCTTCTCCTCTTATATCTTCTAATTCACTTCGTTGCGGGAACCAAGATAGTTACTCACGTCCCTGGGACGCGCCGGACTTCAGTGTTCTGGTGTTTTCATGATTGTATCTACTATAGATCCTGGCTTATAGGAGTTGCAGCGGTTTTAGGAGGCTGTGGCGGGTATGTCCCATTAAAAAAAAAAACCTTAATTATGTAAAGAAGGTTCACTGTCCAGTAGACTATCATAAACTGATGATGATGATCATTATATGTTTTCCCAGGTGCTATCATTCAACGACCCTCAGTTCCTTCGTCAGCTGGAGATGGCTATCAAGTACGGCATGCCCGTGTTGTTCCAAGATGTCAACGAGTACATTGACCCTGTGGTAGATAATGTACTTGAGAAGAATATTAAAAGTGAGTTGTTCAACCCGTTGAAATTCATCCCCTAAATTTGTTCATACAAAAGTAGTCTCTAAACATTGGAAATAAGGTCTATAATGTAGTTAGTGGAGAGCGGCCACCGGTGACCTCTTGGGGATGTATGGGTTAAGGGCCGATTTTGCAATCATCAGTTAATTCTTAACTGTAGAATAAAATTGACATTTGACAGTTTTTAGTATGGGAGAATTATTGTCAAATATTCAAAGTTATTCTTTAGTTAAAATTTATCTGGCATTAGGAAAATCGGCCCTTACTTTAATTAATTTCCTTAGTATGAAGACGGAATGAATGAAAGTCTACTGTGGACTGCCGAACCAAACTACTGCCTACAAGAAGTAGACTAGCTCGCTGATCGCGCGCGATGCCTACTATTGAATCATTTGTTTTTTGTTTTTCGAAAATTAATTTATATCCTCGACATTATGCCCGGTATATGGCGTACATGATGATGTATACAGCTTGCCCCGTATAATAAAGATGGTCAACAGGGTGTGTTACATTGAACACGTGCACTTTATAATTACCACTGCTTAAGAATGATCTAATACATGCTGCACAATAAATCCTTATATTTCCAGCGGAGAGCGGTCGTACATTCGTAATGCTGGGTAGTTCAGAAGTAGACTACGATCCCCACTTCCGAATGTATCTCACCACGAAGCTCTCCAACCCACAGTTCAACCCCGCCACCTACTCCAAGGCGGTCGTCATCAACTATACTGTCACTGTGCAGGTGAGTAATCTAACGCGCGAATAATGAAAGGCTACTTCAAGTTGTTCAATTTCAAGTTGTACTTAAATATCGTGGCATCTCTGTCATTAATTCATTATACAAAGAATTTGTAGTAACAGAACTATACTTAAACGTAGCGTAGTCATTTTGATCCTACATGCTTACGAAATAAAGATTAGATACAAAATACACTGCTGCAGGTAATTATGTCATTCTTCTTCATTTATTTCAATTTTTCTAAGTACACCTAAGTTCAAGAAATACGAATTCTTTCTATGATTGGTTCATTTGAAATGATTTGAAATAATAATAATCTTTTTTTCAGTCACAATAACATTAACCCGTATAAATTTTACACATAATAGATACATAATGAGAAAACGAAACACAGATACACAGTTTAACTAACAGCAGTATGAAGGCTCATCTAATGCTGAGTTAATTTGGAGTCCCATCTGTCTGTCAGTAGGTTCAGGATACTGATGGGACTGGATCGCACACGACTCCATAGCGAGGCGGAGCATATTTAAATGCATGTAGCATCCATCTTATCGTACTAGGTCTTTAAACCGTTTTGGAATGAGATTCGCGTCAATTCCCCAGTCTCATCTATAATCTACAATAATTAACTTTTTAAATAAGTTTACTGGCATATAAGACGATATAGAAAATATATTGTATCTCGTGTAGACCCACGCTTACACACGACGGGTTAAACCAGACAACGTCTTACTATCATTTCTCTTTTATTACAGGGTCTAGAAGACCAGCTCCTCAGCGTAGTAGTACGTGCTGAGCGATCAGACTTGGAGGAACAGCGTGAGAGTCTGATCATAGAGACCAGTGCCAACAAGAGTCTACTGTCAGGACTCGAAGACTCACTACTGAGAGAGTTGGCCACTTCTACAGGCAACATGCTGGACAATGTGGAGCTCGTCAACACCTTGGAGAATACTAAGGCTAAAGCTGCTGAAGTAATTTTGTTATTTCAATACTAGCTTCTGCACGGAATCCTGTGGTATAAAGAGTAGCCTATATGTTTTTTCAGACTATCATCTTTCCCTGTTCCAACGTGATTAATTACAAGCATACACTTACATATTTTCGCATTCTTAATATTAGTAAGAGTTAGTAAGATGATGCAAAAGTCTAGAAGTTGGTAGTTATTGTGTGTGTGTGTGTACTATAGAAGTATAGATGTGTTGAGTTGTTATTATTTGAAAATGTGATGTGAATACTTACAATGTACAAACAATAGAGTTTATTCTTGTAAAACATGATTTAATTTTAAATATTAAGGTCCATAATCACTTGAGGCTTGATAAGGGGGAAGAGGGGTTCGACAAAAAATGAGCATCACTAGGGGGGACGGGGTGTAATAAAATATCATGTGTAATTTTTTTTTGAAATGAAATGAAATCGTTTATTTGTAAACATAGGTTATATAAAGTTGTTTGATTGATTTACATACAGTGCAATACAGCGAGTCCATCTATGTTTTGCCTTAAAGCATACAAATTCCTATCAATATTAGTAAATAGATTAATATAAATTCCGAAATTAAAAATACATTAATAGTCATTTAAGTATCTACACAGGAACAAAACATTTATAATGGGAGTTAAACCACTGAACCATCGTCATCAGTCATATCATGAGATTTATCCCATCTTGACAACCACTATTCGTTATTTTGTTCTTAGGTAATGGAGAAACTGCAACTAGCGCTGATAACAACGCGGGATATAGAGATACTCCGCGACGGGTACCGACCGGTGGCCAAACGCGGCTCCATCCTCTTCTTCGTGCTATCGGACATGGCCGGCGTGAACGCCATGTATCAGTACTCGCTGTCTTCTTATTTAGATGTACGTAACTAGTTTTTTTTTTTTTTTTTTTTCTTCTTTGGCAACTGAGTCTCCAAAATGGTGTTGTCGACTATACTGCCAGTGTCGAGTGGTGACGGCAAAATTATTGGACCGTCGAACTTAACTTTGCGGTAGTTTTTAGTTGTTAGTAGCTGAAAGGACAAAACAATTGGGTTAGTAAAACATAAACATTATCAACTATTTTACTGTTTATATACAGTGGTGTAAAAAATAGTTGGGGGACATACACAATATAGACAGATATTAATATACATCATTGGACACCGTCACATTTTGATCTCATTTTCATTCATAAATTTACATATATAAATAATTACTTTTTGGGAAAAGTGAGTTAAAAGGAGGTGGAAACTGATTGGGAGTGGGATTTGGATACTGGGAAGTTTTTTATAGAGGTCAAAGGATTGGGAATTTAAAGGACACGAAAAAAATATGTGTTCTAAGGTTCCCTCATCAAGGCCGCATTCGCACAGCGAGCTGTCGCGGACACGGATCTTGTTGAGGAAGACCGGACTACTACAATGGCCGAGTCTGAGCCTACACAAGGATGAAACAGTATGACGGGGAAGCTTAGGGTACTTGGAAAACCAAGGTTTCCGTCGGATGCCGGGCTGGACAACTGCATAGTAGGCACCTTTCCGTTTGGAAGTTTCTACCCACACTGCAGCCCATGAGTCAAACAGCTTGTGTTTTGTGTCGGCACGTATATCATACCCGTACACAACGTAGTGTTGGCGTTCGACCTCATTCGAGGCCGCAAATTTGGCCAATGAATCCGCACACTCGTTACCACATATGCCAGAGTGACCAGGAATCCAAGCGATCTCGATATTTATGTCATCTTTGAAGCAAGAAAAAAGAAGCGCCTTTATCTCTACAACCAAACTGCTATGAGTTCGGGAATGGAGCTGGTCTTGGTTGAGAGACTGTAGGCTACTTCGGGAGTCGGAAAAAATAACAGAATTTCTAAGGTTGTGTGCTCTAATAAATTTTATTGATTCTAAAATGCCAACACATTCTCCCGTGAAGACAGATGCTTCCGGGGGACACTTGGAGAGGAGGGCGATCTTCGAATTTTGAAAGTACGCTGCTACTCCTGTACTTCCATTTCGGGATAGTTTAGACGCGTCGGTGAAGAAAATATTCCAGCCCCTCCAGTAACTGTTCAAAGCGCGCCCAAACTCGCCCGCAGCATCTACGGAGGATTTCGAGATGCCGAGTCCTAGAATTACCTTTGGCTTGAAGTGGATAACCTCATATGCGGAAGAGAAAACCGGGAGTACAGGATATTGCCTGATGGGTGCAGAGAGGTTTTTAAGCTCCCTGTACCTGACAATCACGGGAGGGACAGGTTTATTGTTCCAGTAGGAAGAGGACCTATAGGAACAGTGGATTTGTTCTAGGATAGGAAGAAGGGGGTGTGATGAGAGGGAGAGGACTTTTGAGATGAAGCGGTCTGCCAGGTATTGTCTTCGAAGGTTGAGGGGAGGCTCTACACATTCAACCTGAAGAGCATTTATGGGGGATGATTTCATAGCTCCGATAATTATTCTAAGGCATTTGGCCTGAATGGAGTCTAGTTTTTTTAATGCACCCTTATTGCAAGGAACAATAAGGAAGCAACAGTAGTCCATTACACTTCTGACCAATGCATTATAGATGAGCTTCAATGAGTAGGGGTGTGCACCCCACCATACCCCGGCCAGAGCTCTGAGTATCGATACTGAGCGTTCACACCTTGCAACCACAGTGTTTATGTGATCCGCCCCAGACATCTTTGAATCGAGATAAACCCCCAAGAATCTAGCACTGCTTTTGATTGGGATATCCTGACCGTCTATCTCTACACGAAGATCCGGAGTGCGTCGTTTGCGTGTAAAAATGACAGCTGAGCTTTTTGGGGCGCTTAAAGATAACCCGTGATTCAGAAGCCATTGGTTTAATGAGGCCAAAGAGACGTTGATGGAGTGGGCGGCGTCTGTTATAGAGCTGTTAGTAACCATTAGTGCGATATCGTCAGCATACTGAAGGACATTACAGTTAAAATTTAGACAGGAGGGAAGGTCATATGTATAAATGTTATAAAGGATGGGGCTAAGGACTGACCCCTGAGGTAAACCTTTCCAGGAGGACCTCCGTACTGGGTTATCCTCAGGAGTTCTTAATTGGAGGGTACGATCGGAAAGGATGTGGGCTATAATTCGGCAGATCCTACTCGGGATTCTCAGCTTTTGCAGTTTCTGCCTGAGAAGGGGTAAGAGGACAGAATCATAGGCCGCTGAGATGTCCAAGAAGACTGCGACCAACGACTCCTGCCTGCTAAGGGCCAGTCGGATGGCTGAAGTGAGGGTACCCACACTGTCAGCCGTACCCAGACCTTTCCTGAAGCCGAACTGAGTCGCCGGAAGCAGCCCCTGGCTCTCAACCAACCATTCAAGGCGGTTTTTGATGAGGTGTTCAAAAGTTTTAATAAGTATGGACGATAGGGCAATAGGTCTGTACGACAAATGGTCACCAGGGTCCTTGCCAGCTTTTAACAGCGGCATAATAACCTGAACCTTCCAGGTAGGAGGAATATAGCCTGAAATAAAGCAAAAATTGACCAAGTCAAGGTAGTATTGCTTCGCTTTAGTTCCTGCTTTAGTTAGGAATGAGTAGGGGAACCCATCAATCCCTGGTGCCGAGTCCTTCACATGATTGAGTACCGTTTGAAGTTCTTCAGGTGAGAACTCCAAATCGAGCGGGTCATGAGACTCGGGTCGCTCAATCTCATGGGATTTCAGGCAGCATTCATCTGCAGTAGGAACATACGTTGGAGCAATGTGGTTGAAAAAACTGTTACTCAGAGATTCGGGTAAGGTGGAGATAGTGGGAGGTTTGGTGGAGTTCCTAAAGTTTTTAACTCTCTGCCAGACTTTGGATATTGGTGTCGATGGGTTTAGTGAACCACAATATCTCTGCCACCCTTGTCTCTTCTTTTTCTTGAACAATTTCCTTGACTTAGCCAAAATTCGCTTGAAATTTAGGAGGTTTTCCAGGTTCATATCTTGGTTATATGTCTTTTCAGCCGCATTCCTAGCTCTTATCATGGCAGTGCATTCACTATCCCACCATGGTGGAGAAGGGATATTGCCTTTCGGTGCATTTTTCACAGGAAAGCAATCTTCGGCTGTGGAGGATATCAGGTCGGAAAATTTGGAGAAACATTCCAAAGAATTCTCATTGTTAACTGGTGGAAGGAGAGAAATGCGGAGGTCTAATAATTTAGAGTAAAGATCCCAGTCTGCGGAATCTAAACGATATCTTAATAGGGGGGGAAGGGGTTTATCTGGGATGGATTTTGACAGGTGTTTAATTATGATGGGGTAGTGATCACTACCATAGGTCAAATTTAAACAACTCCAATTTAGCACGCTAGCCATAACAGGCGAGCAAAAGGTCAAGTCCACACAGCTGTTTCTTTGACCAAATGCAGACCTACGAGTAGGGCTGCCATCATTAATGACACACAGATCGAGTTCGTCCAGCATCTCAACTAGCTCATTACCCATATTATCACAAAAATCTGAACCCCATCTATAGTGATGGGAGTTAAAGTCACCCATAACAAGTAATGGGCCACTTACTGAGGTAAGTAAATTTTTAATCAAAATAAGGTGGTCAACATGAGGATGAGCAATGTAAAATACAAATATATTTATGTCCTCAGCCTTAACAGCGACAACATTTATGTCATCGCCAACGAAGGTTAGAGGGATCTGGGAGAAGGGTACTTTGTTATTAATTAACAAAGCACACTCTCCATAACCATCAGATCTGTCATGTCTGACAACACTGAAACATGGGATCCCGAAATTGATATTCGGACGAAGCCACGTCTCAGCAATGCCACAAATCGATGGTTTAAATTTATTCATTAAGTGGAGTAAGTCACTCTTCCTGGGAAGAGTACTCCTCACGTTCCACTGAAGCAGTGTTAGAGGTAGGAATTTTACAAATATAATCAAGAATTGTTGAAAGCTTTTGTGCGACGTGGTCCGGTACCGTTTGGGCAGGGTTTGATAGTACTGCCATGAGCATATCAGAAACTATATTAAGAATGTACTTGGAGCTACGAATATTGGTTCCGGATTCCACAGGGAAAGCGCAACCGTTTTTGGATGGGGAGTAAGAGTGGTCTTGGATAAGGGCCTGATGGGCCTTCTTATCATAGCTAGGAGATAGGGGAGCATGTGATTTAGGTTTAAGGTGTATAGTTTTTTTATAGGAGACTAATCTTGAGACCTCAGCATAAGACCTTTTTACAGTAGGGAAAACCTGGCTTGCTTCCGCATATGAAATTGATTTTTCAGCCATCATAGCTTTGATGCTCTTCTGGCGGCCCAATTCAGGACAAGCTTTGTCATTAGCAAAATGGGTGCCATTGCAATTGACACAGATGGCAGTCTCAGCTGGAATCTGGCATCCATCCCCTGGATGATCCTGGCCACACTTGAAGCAACGTGGCTTGGAGCGGCAAAGAGTGCGGGTATGCCCAAAACGGCAACAGTGATAACACTGTATAGTAGGGTACGAGTATAGTTCTACCGGGAGCGCTGAGTAAAAACAAAACACTTTTTTAGGTAGTGTTTGGCCGTCAAAAGTAAGCACTACAGTTTGAGTAGGCTTCCATTCGGTACCGTTTGCGGTTGAGACTCTGCGGTTCATTCTCCTAGCCTTTATCACAGCCCCACACCCAGCGGGAACCTTGATATTACTAATGATTTCGTCCTCTGTCCATCCGACAGGGACGTCCCTAACAATGCCCATTCGTGTAATGTTAAATTGTGGTATCGAAGTCACATAGCTTTGAGCCACCATACCGTTTACCAGAAAGCTATTTGCATCCTGGTGCGTCACAAACTCAACCGAAACTTTATTCCTCCCCAGCCGTTTGACACCACCGATTTTAACATTATTAATATTGAGTTTCATTAAAAACATTCCAAACTTGACTGGGTGAAGGGTAGTGCCAGACGTCTGGGAGTCCTTAAGGGACACGTAAACTACGTAAGGGGGATTATCCCTGGCCGTATAACATTGTCGACCGTTTATACTTTTCGCCAATTTCGGAGGGTTGTTCTGGGTGATAGGAGGGGAGCCTGCAGGTCGTTTTCGGTTTTTGGGAACTTCTGAATCCATTAATTCGATATCCGGGGTGTCGGGAGGAAGAGTGATTGTCAGAATGGTTTCCGTCTCATATTCCGGGGATTTATCGGGATCGGGAGGGTCTGGTGGCTTCACCTCATCCATTTCTGATTAAGGAGATGTGGGCAGAGGAATAGATTAAAATTTTACTTAGAATTACACCAATACCTGTTAAAAACTTACACACACACACTTAACCAACACGACAACACAAAATTTAAAAGATTTCATTCCCAATCACTATGAATTATCTCACTTAAATTAAAAACAAACGTAGGAATGACAAAAGCACGTGCGTAACCTTCACCACTACCAACGAAAAACGTAACTAGTTTATGTTTGTTAAGATAATATGACTATTTGGGGTAGCAATACGGAGTTGACAGATAGTCAAATTCAATACTTTTATTGGTATGTCAAAAACGATACATTTCTATGAATTTTGTATTGGATAGCAACTTATGGCGTCAAATAGCATATTTATTTCCTTAAAATTAGCGAGAAAAAATCCAAAAGTAGGTAAATTGTCAAATCAATGTAAGAGATTATGATTATTTTTTAATTATTTATTGCATTGAAAAAGCAGTTGAAACAATTTATTTTAAACTTAGGCAACTATCCAATCATAGTGTTATAGTGGGTTATAAAGAGGTCCATAGTAGTTCTGCGTGTTAAATGTTTGGCCTAATTTAGTTATGCCCAGGCCACACCAACGAGAAATGCCATTGCTTAGCGCGATAATGCACGTTCACCGTAGGTGTAGCCATGAGTCAACGTGATAATTTGACAACGGCATTCACATTGCCTTTTGGCATGATCATGGCATCACGTTGAAATTTCAAGTGTAGCCACCCACTTTATTGCGTTAAAATTATCGCAATAATTATCGTGGTAAACATCGCGATAATCGGCATTCACAGTGACGTTAGTGTGGCCCCGGCATTAGTGGTATGCGCAAAATTGTCTTTGCGCAAGTACATTGTCATTACATAAACATATTATCTTCGATCAACAATAACAACTAGATATCGGGTCGGCGCAAGAAAATCGTCTCGACAAATAAGAGCTCACTTGAGAAGTGAGCTCTTATTTTGTTTAGTATGCTCCAAACACGGCCAATGTACTCACGTGTCACGAGTAATTGCAAGTTGCAAAAATAACAACCGAAAAAGCAGTATAACGGTCGGAGTGTCTTACTTTTGATAAGTACATAAAATATAAGTTATATTTTAAGCTTTTATACTAGTAAATAATATCAAATTAGACAAAATTATCAATTATAAACCAACGCCACCAATGTTTGTGCGTGTGTTGGCGATTCCTTGGCCAAGTCTCGCCAACATTTGTTTAAACAGAACAGTGGATGCATGGAGTCGATTTGTATTGAAAAATAAAATTATATTGTTTCTTGCTCGTTCTTCTCCATAGGAATCTACACCTTGGAATGAGCAAATAGCTTCACTTTTAAATTTATATTGTTGACGTTCAAAAGTGCCTTCCTGGTATAACTGAAATAAATAATTTTGACTTAGACTTAGACTTTTAATGATAAAGTAAATAAACATATCATACACAAAAACGTACCGCTAATAAAAATTAGTGATGTATACTAAGATCCCGAAATGTTAATTTTCATATTATAAAATTATTTTAGTGTCCAACGCGACTCCATACATACCTCCTGTAGCGAAATTCGAAATTTGAAGAAGCAAAACGAAACAAAACAAAACGATATAGATCGCAAGACAATAATGGAAAAATTATCTTTATTTGTTCGACCTTAAGGTTGAATTCAAACTAGATATTGTATAACTTATGTCTTTTAATTTCTACATGACAGGAGTAAGAAAATACTTTTCTTGTCTTATGTGACGAATGGTCGTAAGTATTAGATAATATTTTGACGATTTATGACTTTATTATTAGGTGCCATGGTTGTTATTAGGTTGAACTTAAAACTATTTTAAAACATTTTTCTCTGTTTGTTATTTTTTTACTATTATTATTCACACGGACAGAACTGGAGCTTGATTTTGTAGGCAACCCTTTATCTAGTTGTTATTGTTGATCGAAGCATATTATAAAAAAATCAACAAAATTATAAAGCCAAAAAGTCAACGTCACGCGGTGTTCCCAGGCGGTCACCCATCCAAGTACTGACCGCGCCCGATGTTGCTTAACTTCGGTGATCGGACGAGAACCGGTGTGTTCAACATGGTATGGACGTTGACGACTATGAAGTCGAAATACGTTATGTGATAAATAAAAGTAGGGTTGTAATTTTTTTTCACATTTATAGATATTAAGTGTTGATATATTTTTTCACTATTATTTCTATGTATACAGGTGTTTTCGTTCGCTCTGCGCAAAGCGATGCCGAATGTAATTCTGACGAAACGTTTGAAGAACATCATAGATATGCTCACCAAGAACGTTTATGACTACGGATGTACAGGTGTGTGTCAATATTCCGTTTTTATATTTTTATGTAGATTTTGAGATTCTTGTTAATATTAGCACACAATGTGTTTTTTTGTATCAACAACTTAACTCAAGGTATTCACAAACTGAATAGGTTGCTTATTGGTAGGCGCGTTTCATCAGGCAAAATTGACAATTTTTTTTTATACTTATCTAGTGACCCGCCCCGGCTTCGCACGGGTGCAATATGCATGTATTATACATATAATACAAACCTTTCTTAAGAATTACTCTATCTATTAAACAAAACCATATCGAAATCCATTGCGTAGTTTTTAAGATCTAAGCATACATAGGGACAGACGACGGATAGCGACTTTGTTTTATACTATTAGTGATAGGTTGACGTTTGGCCACCATCTCACCTGGTAAGCGATGATGTGACCGATGATGTAGCACCTGCCTACCTTTGAGCAACCTTTTCACTCGGCTCAATGCTAATAAATTGTCATTTAACTCGTCGAGTACCGTCAATATAGACACAATTAAAGAATAGGTTGCGGTCACCGGTGACCGTATGGTGTTTGACAGTTTAAGTAGTTTACTTTTTTATTTACTTCAACATATGGCATTTCCTTACATACATCCTTTCCTTAGACATAAAATTGTAAATAATACAACATTTATCTCCAAATGGGTAGGCAGAGGTGAACATTATGCCACCGTACAATGTAACACCTACTTTTCACTATTTATGTTATGAGTCCCATGTAATAGGGGGTGAGCCTATTGCCATATACCGGGCACAATTCCAGACTCCGTGCTACTACTGAGAATTTATAAAAACCCAGTAATACTTTGCCCGACCCGGGAATCAAACCCGAAACCACTCGGCCAACGAGGCAGTCTAAATAAAATTGTAAATCTTCACCACAAGGGTACACACACAGCTATTATAAACACTTTATCACTAAACCAACATGTTTAGGATAACCTACTTAAGTTAAACTCCCTTCCCAGGTATATTCGAGCGCCACAAGCTCCTATTCTCTTTCCAAATGAACATAAAGCTGGAACAAAGCGAAAACCGCGTCTCACAAATGCAGCTCGACTTCTTCATCAAGGGAAACATCTCCATTGAGAAGTCAGCGCGACAGTGTCCTGCTTCTTGGATACCTTCACAGGTCTGTACCATGGTATACGACTGCGTGGTTGTCGCGGTCACTGGGTAAGGCAGGGTAAGCTGTCGCGCAACGTGTTTCGGGTTCGACTACCGCACAGAATAACTCTTTTTGCGATCTATAAACTATTGTTTTGGGTCTGGGTGTCATGTGTATGTGAACTTGTATGTTTGTAAACGCACGACATAGGAGAAAATCCTATAACGGGGCAACGTTTTTTTTATTGGCTAAGCCCACAGATATAATAATTTTAATATTTCTGTGGATAAGCCGGTGAACGAGCGGACGGATCACCTGATGGTAAGCAATCGGCGTCGCCCATGAACACCTGGAACACCAAAAGCATTACAAGTGCGTTACCGGCCTTTTGGGATTGGGTAATTTGAGGATTGTTGGGGGGTTCAGGGAATGGGGAAAGGGGGGGAGTAATTGGGCATCCGGTAACCTTACTCACATGACGAAACACAACACAACGTTGTTTCACGTCGGTTTTCTGTGAGGCCGTGGTATCACTCCGGTCGAGCCGGCCCATTCATGTCGAAGCATGGCTCTCCCACATGTATGTATAAAAAATTATAACGAAATATGCAAGATGTTTTACGGCTGAAGGAGTAGGTAGACATGCACTTGTGTTATAATTCTATAAGGTAACGCCTTTCAATAGTTGGGTACACTAGTCCCTTGTAATAGGGTATGAGACTACTACCATGCAAACTGCAAATTTCAAGTTGTTACTGAATTTTTTTCATAAAACTTTTAAATATACTGTCCGTTCCCAAGGTCCAAGGTCGGGGGAATCGAACCCCTTGCTCGGTAGTCGCACTCTCGCACTTAACCTTATGACCGACGGAAAACGGAACTTCATGGAACCCAAAACCAACCCATCAACGATAGTAAAATAAATAAAATACTTTAAAAAACTAGATTAATAGGCTAGTTTCCTAAATCTTATTTTAATGTCCGTCTGGTAGCTTATTTTAAAAAATTAAACACGTATTTTTTCTTTTCTCACAAAATTAAATGCTTTCCACGATATATTGATTTGAAATGGCGTGTGACGTCACAGCGTGCAACAAAATGTAGCACGTTGTAACGTAACTACCTCCCACTCCTAAACTTAACTCCATTTTATCTGAGTATTGTAACTTTAAACAACAAAAAAAATACGTGTCTAATACTTTTTCATTATTAATTAGATTTTTAATTTTCTTACCCTGGAAACTACCCAATTGTACCTCTCTAACAATTCTAACAATATATTTATCTCTAGGGTTGGCAAGATATAATGAAGCTGAGCTTGGACTTCCAGAATTCCTTCAGTGCTCTGCCAGACAACGTCAGCAGAAAACTGAATGAGTGGCAAGAGGTATGTACAACAAATGTTCTTAAATATTATCCTACTAATATTATTATCTGCCTCGTTGGCCGAGTGGTCGTAATTGTGACTGCCAGGGGCTCGGGTTCGATTCCCGGGTCGGGCAAAGTATTACTGGGCTTTTTCAAAAAATCTCAGTAGTAGCACGGAGTCTGGAATTGTGTCCGGTTTAAGGCAACAGGCTCACCCCCTATTACACGGGACTCATAATATAAATAGTGAAAAGTGGGTGTTACCTTGTACAGTGGCATAATGTGCACCTCTGCCTACTCCTTCGGGGATAAAAGGCGTTATGTTATGTAAAGGAGAATGCCCATGGACAGTACTCTTGATAAATTATTTGTGTCTCAAAATCTCTAACGGCATGAAACATCTAAAATAAAAATATATTTTTAAACAGACTTTGAATGATATTTACATTGGGATAGTTTTTTGAAAATTAATTAGTATTTTTATGTTTCCGAAGTTATAGTACGCCATTTATAGGTATGTCTGTGCCGACACATGTCAAATGACAGCATGGCAGTTTACGCACATAGACTATCAATGAACGATCCTCCTTTTTCGAACTTTACTCTCCGTTCCCTAAATGTTATTTTTTTATTGTATTCTATTTTTTATATTGAATGTTCAATCTATTATTATAAAGTAACAACATTCACTGTAAATGGCAGCATCAGCACCATGTTGTATTTGTGAAATACCACTGGCTGGTTTACGCAAATAGAAAAAAAATCGATCTTTCATCATTATGGGTAGAACCTTATTTGACGTTTATTGCGCGTCTGTCATATTTTTGCAATCTAATAAATACTGTTATTTCTGCTGATTTTGGTATGCTCTGTGTCGAGTCGAGCCTTTTAGTTCTTCCGTAATTCCTGTCAATCCATTGAAAATAAACATACTTTTAACGCCACAGCACGGTGTGTGTTGTTTATCACTAATAACTGGTCATTTTGAGTTACGATCTTGCCGAGTGCGACTGTGATGCAATGTCTCAACTACTCATAAGAAAAGAAATAGTAATAACATAACATAACATCACGCCTTTTATCCTCGAAGGGGTAGGCAGAGGTGCACATTATGCCACTGTACAATGTAACACCCACTTTTCACTATTTATGTTATGAGTCCCATGTAATAGGGGGTGAGCCTATTGCCATATACCGGGCACAGTTCCAGACTCCGTGCTACTTCTTAGAATTTTTTCAGAACCTAGTAATACTTTGCCCGACCCGGGAATCGAACCCGAGACCCTTTGCCCGGCATTCGCACTTGCGACCACTCGGCTAATAAAATAATAATAATAAATAATCATTATTTTATTTATTGTATCTGTTTGTTTTCCTTCCCTCTGTAGGTATTTATAAAGGCCATGTCATGATACCTACCACATCTATGATTTGAGTAGGGCCTAGATATAAAACTGAGCTAATGACTATTTTAGTAACGGTTCCTTCCATGCTTTGCAATTTCATGAAACGCGGGCGTTAGATTTAAAAATGCGCAAAATCTATATCAATAAGACTCGGTGAGGTAGACACATGTGTCCACCAGTAACTGGCCACCTGACATAGCTAACACGTTACAGATTTTACATAAATGAGTATGCTTCAAAGATACCAAGCCATAAAAACCCATTCAGACCCTTTTAAATAGCTTTTTTCAGTTAACTATTGATCGGACATAACCTCAAAATAGTAATTTTATTTTGTGAATATCTCGAAAATGCCAATGTATTTTGTGTTAAATCTTTTGAGGTAGTATTTGGACATGTCATCGAATATTTTAAAGATTATTTCATGGAGACACAACAATGTTGAATTCAGTACATTTGTCCATAGTGCCGTGGGCATTCTCCTTTAACCAGTACATTTTATTTATTGGTGTTTTTGTAGTTAGTTCGGGATTTTTGATCAAAATCGAAATTATAATTTATATAACAAAATTTTTATTATAAAATCAATATTATGCGACACAAAAAACAACAAATCGGTCCAGCAGTTCCTGATATTAGCGCATTCAAACAAACAAACTAAATCTTCAACTTTAAATAACATAAAACGGTATAAGATGATTATGATGAATCTCTTATCTCCTCCAGTGGTTCGACAGCGACACTCCAGAAGCGAACGAGATCCCGAACCATTACCGCGACAAGTTGCAACCGTTTGAGATATTGATGCTGCTTCGATGTTTCCGCGTGGACCGCATCTACCGCGCGCTCACTGACTACATCACCGTCACCATGGGCGAGGAGTACATCACGCCGCCTGTTATCAGGTAAATACGGAGTTTATATACTTTACTAGCTACTTCCGCGCGGTTTCACACGCTCTGCTCAGTTCCTATTGGTCGTAGCGTGATTTTTATAGCCTATAGCCATCCTCGATAAATGCGCTATCCAACACAAAAATAATTATTCAAATCAGACTTATAGTTACGGAGATTAGCGCGTTCAAACAAACAAACAAAAAACAAACTCTTCCACTTTATATAATAGTATAAGATATCAAATAAGATAAGATATATAAGAGTCTATTGAACTAATTGAAGGTTTTGAACTACTGTCTGTCTGTATGTATTTGTAGTCAGGGTATCATACGTATTCCTTAAAAAACAGGACTTCGACCAGGTAGTCCTGTTTATTAAATTCTTTTTCGAGAATGTAGTACATTCTTTTCATTCATTCAAATTTTTCCCAGGTGGGAAAAATTTGTAGTAACTAAAATTAATCAAATTTTTTAAAATATATTTGATGGGCTGACGTTGGACCACTATATTTTGAATTATTTTTAATATGACTTCCAAATATTTTGGCAAAAAGTCAACGTCACGCGGTGTTCCCAGGCGGTCACCCATCCAAGTACTGACCGCGCCCGATGTTGCTTAACTTCGGTGATCGGACGAGAACCGGTGTGTTCAACATGGTATGGACGTTGACGACTGTCATTTCGAAATCCATATTTAGTTATTTTGTGTAAATATATCTTCAAATATCTCATTGTATTGGGAGGCAATAAGTAATTTTCAATGTTTTCAATCCAATATTCAATATAAATCTTTATTCGTTTCTCCCATAAAAAGAATTAAAAAAAACATGCTTTATATTTTAAAGTAGCGTAATCTATCCTTGTGTTGAATAACAATTACTCATATCACAATGTCATACTTTCGATTAACTTTGCCAAGTTCAGCGCGGTGATGCTTACTTGTTCGTTACTAAGTTACTACCTAGAGGGCGCCAGGAGTATTATTTTTAGCACCTTTTGTGTTTGAAAAAAAAAAAGAAAGAGTGTTATCATGATCAGTCGATGCTGAGTGTACTTTCTGATAGCTAAGAATGTTATTATTAGTATAGTAATTGGGTAATCAAATCCTTTCGACAAACAATTGTTTGTAGTTTGCATATTATTTAATTATTTTTTTTAAGGAGTAAGCCGGTAAACAAGCAGACGGATCACCTGATGGCGGCTAATGGTAAGCAATCGGTGCTGCACATCGACACCTGGAACAACAGAGGCGTTACTAGTGCGTTGGCGGCCTTTTGGGGATTAAGAATTTGAGGACTGTTGCGGATTGAGGGCAGGGGGAGAATAATTGGGCCTCCAGTAACATCCCGAGGGGAAACAAAGCAAACGTTGTTTCACGTCGGTTTTCAGTGAGGCCGTGGTATCACTCCGGTCGAGTCGACCTGGCCCATTCGTGCCTTGATGGCTTACACTTAATAATTATTTGTTATTTCCAGTCTAGACATGATATTCGAGCAAACGACCCCGTTCACTCCGGTAGTCTTCATCCTAAGCCCCGGTTCAGATCCTACAGCTGACCTGATGAAGCTGGCTGATAGATGCGGCTTCGGAGGCGGCAAGTTCAAGTACCTGTCTCTAGGTCAGGGGCAGGAAGGGGTGAGATGTTTTTTTTTATTTATTTATTTTTAAACTTTGTTACACACTTAGTTTTTCTCCTTTGTCATGGGTGCGTTTACAAACATACAAGTTCACATACATCACAACCAGACCCAAAACAACAATTTGTGGAAAACACAAAGTGTTGTTCCGTGCGGGAATCGAACCCGCGACACGGTGCACGGCAGCCGGTTGCCCAGCCAACGCACCAACCGTGCAGTCTAATTATTATTTTATATTAGATGCCTATTTATTATCTTGGAGATAGGAGAGGTAGACAAACAATTCAATTTTGACGTTGCTCAACCTTGGTTAACTCGTCGAGTACCGGTTTTGTAGACACAATTATAGAACAATAGGTTGCGGTCACCGGTGACCGCTTGGTGTTTGACAGTTTAAGGCTGCACCCATGGTACGATGGTGAACTACGCGAGGGACAAGGTGTTTTCTATTCTATTTTGTTTCATATACCGGCAGACAAATGGTTATAAATACTAAATATTTATTTACCTATATTATATTAACACAACACTTTCTCCACGTCCAGGCGGCCATAGCGCTACTGGAAGGCGCGATATCCCATGGACAATGGCTGATTCTCCAAAACTGTCACTTATTGGTATCATTCCTACGTGAGCTGGAGAAACAACTGGAGATGATGACGAAGCCGCACCCCGAGTATAGACTATGGCTCACTACTGACCCAACACCGACGTTCCCTATTGGGATCTTACAGAGATCGCTTAAAGGTAGTATAATAAGCTAGGCTTTAAGCTAGGGAGACTTACTGAGATATTTCGGGAAAAAACATTAAAAATCATGACCCTAAAACCGCAGCTGAAACCTCTTGCTCGACAATGTGACCGTTCGATAAATAAGACAGTCTTTTGTTGTCTAGGCGTAATACAAAAATTGAATTTACCGTTTACGAAACAAAACTATAAAGTTGTTATTCTGAGAGAGTACGATGGGGATTGTAAAATTCACCCGTATTAATGTCAACGTCCATACCATGTTGAACACACCGGTTCTCGTCCGATCACCGAAGTTAAGCAACATCGGGCGCGGTCAGTACTTGGATGGGTGACCGCCTGGGAACACCGCGTGACGTTGACTTTTTACTTTTTTTTATATTTAATCCGTTATTTTACCGTTTTTTCTATAGTTGTCATTAGAAGCATCTACTTGCGCAAAAAAAATATGCGCAATTTGTTTTTTTGTCCAAACTAACATCCATTAAATATTATTTCTCTATAAATTTTATTGTTTTTTGTATTTAGTGGTAACGGAGCCGCCTAATGGTTTGAAGCTGAACCTCCGCAACACATACTTCAAGATGCGCAGTCATGCACTGGAGGAGTGCATACACCCACAGTTTAAGAAGTTGGTTTATGTCCTCGCTTTCTTCCATGCTGTCGTACAGGTAAAGTATTTAACAATACCATATGTTTTTGTAATCCACGATTAAAATTAATAATGGACATACGACCGAAAACTGAAAGGCTACTCAATTTTAATTTGTACTTACATATCGTGCCATCTCTGTCATACTTCAAAGAATTTGTGGACGAAAATCTAGTGTAAGCGTAATATAATAATTTATAGGAGCGGCGCAAATACGACAAGATCGGATGGAATATATCGTACGACTTCAGCGAGTCGGACTTCGTGGTCTGCATGCAGATACTGCAGTGTTACCTCGACCGGTGCTACGACGTGCGGGGACCTACGCCTTGGGCCACGCTCAAATATCTGTTTGGAGAGGTCGGTTATAATACATACATAATAGGTTACTTTGCCAAAGTCTGTATTTCCTGCATGGAATGGTGGGTGGGTGTCTTCAAGGCCCGAGTGAATATGTTGCTTATGGGACGACGCGATATTTAAAAAAACTTTCTTAGAAGTCAAAAGTACAAACAACGTCAAAAACTATATTTTCTATGAGAGACAAGCTTATGACGAAATTATATTTTAATGACGTTATAATGATGTTATAATCTGTCATAAAATTGTACACAGTTAGGTAATATAAGGTATTTGTTACGGGTTTAAAGAATAACTTTTGTTTAAAACTTGTGGCACCGACTTCTCACCTATCAGTGGGTGGTACGTATGACTAATAATAGTTATTTTTTGCTTTTTAATTTTTACCTTTTGCTTGTTTTTAGGTTTTGGTTTTTTATTGTATTGTGAAGTCGAAATAATTTATGTTGGACTGAGGAGACTTACGAATTGGTTCCTTTGGAATGATTTAATTGTGGGATCCACGTTCGTTCGCCCCAAGCCCAACCGCTAGGGTCCACCTTAGGGACAAAAATTCTGGCTAGATGCAAATCTATAATGTGGTCAGTGTAGAATACTAGTGTAGGAGTGTGCATACAAAAAGTGAAACATAAAAGGTCGCCATTTGTTTTTAAATAATAAAAAAGAATTAAGTAAATGGCAAAAAGTCAACGTCACGCGGTGTTCCCAGGCGGTCACCCATCCAAGTACTGACCGCGCCCGATGTTGCTTAACTTCGGTGATCGGACGAGAACCGGTGTGTTCAACATGGTATGGACGTTGACATTTGTCGATCTGAAATTATGGTTCACTATCATCTGATACCTTCTCAACAAATAAAAATTTGAACTTTAAAATAACCATAGAATATTCAGATCAATTCATTTTTTGCGATAAGTGTCTAAGAACTAACAAATTACGCCTCAAAAAGTAACTTTTGGAAAAAATGGTTGTTGTAACTTTTATCCGCAGGTGATGTACGGCGGGCGAGTAATAGATGACTTTGACCGTCGCGTAGTGGGCACCTACATGGAAGAGTACCTGGGAGATTTCCTGTTCGACAAGTTTCAACCATTCCACTTTTATTGTGATTCTACCTTCGATTATGTGATCCCGCCTGATGGGGAGAAGGAACAGTATATTGGTATGACCGTCTGATTTTCTAGTGTTTTGTTTTAAAAAAAATATTGCCCCGCACTAGGATTTTCTCCTGTGTCGTGGGTCCGTTTACAAACATACAAGTTCACGTCATACACAATGACACCGAGACTCGGAACAACAATTTGTGGATCACACAAAGAGTTGCTCCGTACGGCAATCGAACCCGCTACACGTTGCGCGGCCATGCAGCCAACCCAGCCTTATAGGAGTTTTTCGTCTGTAATGAGTATGTTTCACATTCACATCATACCCAGAGCCGGAACAACAATTTACGGATCACACAAAGGGGCAGTTCGGACAAAGTAGATTTTTTTAATATCGATAGAATTTTTTAATAGCACACAAACTAAAATTGTGCTCAATATGTAAATAAATTAAATTAAATAGTTATTTAATTATGATAGCGGTTTACTTATGTGAGTTATCAGAGAAAAGCTCTACTAGTTTCTGGTAGTAGCTGCTCATGAATAGGTATTCATGAGCAGCTGTGGGGCGCGCCCAACACTATTGTAAATTGTTAAATCGTATGCTTTAACTCGTTGAGTACCGTCATTATAGACACAATTATAGAACAACAGGTTGCGGTCACCGGTGACCGCTTGGTGTTTGACAGTTTAAGATGTCATTAGCATGTTCAATACTCTCTGCTTCTTACAGAGTTCATAGACACCCTTCCTCTGGCGAATACCCCTGAAGTGTTTGGGTTGCACCCTAACGCAGAGATCGGATACTTCAGCCAGGCCGTGCGGGAGATGTGGGGACATCTCATCGAATTACAACCGCAAACCAGTTAGTATTGCCTTATTATAAGTAGCAATTATAATCTAGAATTAGTTTTGAATAATAATCTATAATTGTAGACTTATTATATTGATTATTTATGTTTTTATAATAATAACCATTGTGAGATATACTAGACTAAAAAATGCGGGTTACTCACATGGTTAGAGACCATCAAATTGTTTAAAGGCATATTTTTTTTATGGCATAAGCCAGTAGTCCAGCAGACGGATCACCTGATGGTAAGCAATTGGCGTCGCCCATGGAGACCCGGAACACCAAAGGCGTTACAAGTGCGTTACCGGCCTTTTGGGGATTAGAAGTTTGAGGATCGATGGGGATTCAGGAATTGGGGAGATTGGGGAAGGGGAGGGTAATTGGGCGTCCGGTAACCTCACTCACACGACGAAACACAACGCAAGCGTTGCTTCACGTCGGTTTTCTGAGAGGCCGTGGTATCACTCCGGTCGAGCCGGCCCATTCGTGCCGAAGCATGGCTCTACGACACTTAACCTTGGTATATAATAATAAAGTTCAAAATCTGTGTAGATCTTCCAACTTTATTTAGCCTTACCTACTTACCCTTGTATGATATTAGCAAGTCGCCACCACCAGTCAGTAGTTGTAGACTAATCAATTAATATTTAACTAAGTTTGCTGTAGATAATTTTTCGGTAATTTAATTTATTTTATCATTTTCACGCGGCGTTAGCACATGTATGGGACCGTAAGTATGAAGTTGTAATCCCATTGTTGTTATCTTAAAATATTGTGGGAATAAATTATTAATGTAAATTCCTTTTAACTTTTAAAATGCCGCTAGGTGTCATAGAAGGTAAGTCTAAGATTTGTTTTATTATTACACTGCTACAGGTCCGCCGAAATAACAGGGTCGCATCTTGAAAAAAATGAAATATCGACAAATAGATTTTTTATTCAAACTATGATTTGCTATGTACTTTATGAATGCTTGTCAAGTACAAGTATCAGAAATTCAGAATATGAAACTGGCTGATAAATTCAGCATCTCTATCGTCAACGTCCATACCATGTTGAACACACCGGTTCTCGTCCGATCACCGAAGTTAAGCAACATCGGGCGCGGTCAGTACTTGGATGGGTGACCGCCTGGGAACACCGCGTGACGTTGACTTTTTACCATTTACCATTTTTAAAGTTACCTTTTTGGTAATATTTTTTTTTAATTTTTGACTCTAGGTGAGAGTGGTGGTGCGATGAGTCGCGAGGACTTTATCGACCTGACAGCTTTGGATGTATTGTCCAAGCTGCCGCAGCCGTACGAGATCTGGCGCGTGCGCAAACAGTTCGAGATGAACATTACTCCTACACTGGTCGTGTTACTGCAGGAACTTGAGAGGTAAAAGGGCACCACTTATTTATGTCGTGAATAGTCATTGTTGCAAATAGATTTTCTGAAAGACTTATTGATTGAGCGGGCACAAGAGCGACAGCCGAGCATATAATTTCAAGTTCGATTGAAATAACATCACGCCTTTTATTCTCGAAGGGGTAGGCAGAAGTGCACATTACGGCACTTAATGCCACTGTACAATGTACTTATTATTATACTTTTCACTATTTATGTTATGAGTCTCAGGTAATGAGTCCCTAGTTAGATTGATAAGAAAAAATATTACCCATTCTCATGGGCACACACCTAATCTACTCCACGCAAACATTACAGAGAATTAAGTACTAAAAAAAATCAATCAACAATGATCCTGTGTCGTATTGTGCCCGACCCACTTGGACATAGAAGCTGAAACATCTAGCTCGGCAATCGCACTTTCAAGCCAACACCAACAACACATAAAAATAAAACCAAACACTCTATAAACATCACGCCTTTTTATCCCCGAAGGTGTAAGCAGAGGTGCACATTACGGCACTTAATGCCACTGTACAATGTAACACCCACTTTAAACAAACCAAACACTCGATCCTTTGAAATTCTTCTCCAGATTCAACCGTTTAATCCTACGAATGCGATCGACCCTCACACTCCTCCGGAAAGCATTAGCTGGAGAGATAGGCATGGACGCAGTACTGGACAACGTGTCGTACTGCATGTTCAACGGACAACTGCCACAGGTGTGGAGGAGCCTGGCCCCCGCCACTTGCAAGGGGCTCGGGGGGTGGATGGACCACTTCATTGCCAGGACTAAACAGTATAGTGATTGGGTATGGTAGTCTTGTTATATTTAAATCAAATAAGTAGGGAATAACACCTTTTCTCGATTCATCATCATCATCGTCAACAGCTTATAAATGCCCACTGCTTAGCAAAACCTCTTGACACACGGAGAAGGTTACGAAGAGCATTAATGACGACGCTTGCTCAATGCGGGTTGGCGATTTCAAACTTATAATTAGAAATTATAAGCCCAGGTTTCCTCACGATGTTTTCCTTCACCGTTTGTCAGTGGTGTCTAAATAATCTTAGAAAGTACATATAACTCGGAAAAGTCACATTGGTACTTACCGTTGGTAGGTTTCGAACCCTCCGGGCCTTATAAGACTTGGTCGACTATGTTTTCTATTTTTTTTTATTTCTATGTTGCACATGTTTGGGGAATAATGTTCTCTGAGATTGTAATAAAAAAGAGATTGTCGAATGCACTTTATACCACTTTCAAAATCTCTACCTTTTCTTGAGATTTTAATATCATACTCATATTTGTCTGATGACCTTCAAATTGGGTACTTTCCTTAATCAAAAATAATTTATTTCCACTGTTAAATACAATAAAATATTAAAAAATAATCACACTTTCATTACCTCATTGATTTTATGACCACCTTAATTTTGGCATTTTGCCAGGAATTTTTTAAGAAACAAGTACCTAAGATGCTGTTTGGTGCTAAAAAACGTGACGTCACAATACACAATTTCGTACATAGAATTCATAGAAAAACTGTCGTTGTTGACAGTTCGTAAAAAGTATTGAATTTGACTTGTTGACAAGTACCTACCCAATTGTTTTTGTACTGTAACGTGTAATGCTTAATATCACTAAATTTATTGAATAATTTATTATTATAGGCAACAATGGAGGAACCGGTAGTAATCTGGCTATCAGGTCTCCACATCCCGGAGTCGTACCTGATAGCTCACATCCAGATAGCGTGTCGCCTGTACACCTGGCCACTCGACCGCTCCACGCAGTTCACCAGGGTCACCAGCTGGGTCTCCGCTGACGAAATCGAGGAGAGACCTGTTACGGTACCTATACATTATTTTATTTTTACTCTAAGAAGTGCCGACCGGATTGATACTAAGGGTTCAAAGCAAATTGGCGTGAAATATCCACAGCATTGTGTGCAGACTTAAATGGGGCTATTGGAGGATCAATCCCCACTGCTTCATTCCTCTACTGTGGATCCATGAACGATTACTGAATCATCAAGGGGTCCGTGTGTTCGGTTGCCAAATAATATTGACTGCACGGTTGGCGCGATGGCTGGGCAACCGGCAGCCGCGCAACGTGCAGCAGGTTCGATTCCCGCACGGAGCAACTCTTTGTGTGATCCACAAATTGTTGTTCCGGATCTGGGTGTGATGTGTATGTGAACTTGTATGTTTGTAAACGCACCCACGACGCAGGAGAAAATCCTAGTGTGGGGCAACGTTTTTTAAAAGAGAAAGAAATAAATTATTATTATCAAAAAAGTCCTTAAAGGTTGTCACTGCTTGCATTTCCGATGTTCTACAATATGCACTCCTGGGTGCTTACTCTTGAAATCAATCTCAATGTCAATGCAATTTCAGTCCAATAAAATCTCAATAATAATTTGATGTCAAAACTAAACCCCTATAGTAGCTGTTAAAGTAGCATTCAGAGTACGGAATATAAAGCTAAACTCAGAGATTTCGACATTTTTATTTCTTTTTTTTAGCAGAAGCAATATATGTAGCAGCAATATGCAGTCTATTTCAGGATATTTGAAAATAATTAATTGGGCCTCCGGTAACCTTGCCCACACGACGAAACACAACGAAAACCGTCGGTTTTCTGTAAGAGCATGGTATCACTCCCGTCGAGCCGGTCCATTTGTGCCGAAACATGGCTTTTCCACACTTGTGGGACAACGTTTAAAAGAAAAATAATTTCTCTTACTCGGAAGAATATTCTACTTTTATTTTTCTTAATTAACAAACATATCATAACATCACGCCTTTTATCCCCGAAGGGGTAGGCATAGCTGTACATTACGGCACTTAGTGCCACTGTACAATGTAACACCCAGTTTTCACTTTTTATGTTATATATGAGTCCCATGTAATAGGGGTGAGCCTATTGCTATATACCGGGCACAATTCCAGACTCCGTGCTACGACTGATTTTTTTTTAAACCCAGTATACTTTGCCCGACCCGGGAATCGAACCCGAGACCCCTTGCCCCGCAATCGCACTTCTGACCACTCTGCCAACGAGGCAGTCAGTAATTAACAAACCATGTTCTATATTCCCTAGGGTTGCTACGTCCGAGGTTTGTACTTGGAAGGTGCGCGCTGGGATCTAGAAGATACCTGCCTGCGACGCTCGCACCCGAAGGTGCTGGTCACCGAGCTGCCCATCATGTACGTCATACCCATTGAGGCACACAAACTGAAGTTACAGGTATGTTGATAATAATTTCGTATCATCTATACTAGTATTAATAGAGGGTCGTTTGTTTGTTTACAGTGCATCGCTTCTTTTCAGGGAGTAACACTATCTGTTTATCTTATGTTTTATTCATCACACTAATACTAATAATGTGAAAGTTTCTTTGTTTGATTGTTTGTCCGTCAATTACGATGAAACTAGAACGGATTTTGAATAAATTTGGTATACAGGCAGGGCTGACTTAAGTGATAGGATACTTTTTATCCTGATTAAGATTAAGTAATCATATTCTACGCGGTCGAAGTCGCGGAATATCTGGATATTAGGTATATTTACCTGCGTCCTTATCTCTGCAAGGCATAAAAGAAACATTCTCATTTTTATTTGAGTGGAACTATCCAAAAACTAATTACTTTTTTAGATAGTGAAAGACTAAGGCCAATTTTAAAGTCTAACGCTGACCGTCGGCGCTCATGGCTTAGCGCGTAGTTTGACATACGACGATCAAGCCGTAGCTTTATCCGTTAGCGAAGACCGAAGCACGCGTTATTCTAAAAGTTATGCGTGTTAGCTGTCAGCGCCGACGATCAGCGTGCGGTTAGCGCGGTTCTAAAATCAGCCTTATAGACTATATCATTGCTCTTGTTATTTAAGTTGATCACCTTAATAAGCCTTTTATCAATCACAGACACTAATCAGTCATCGGTACCAATTTAATCCAGCGAGAATATAGATTAGAGCAATACTGAAGTTATTTGGAGAGGTCTTTGTTCAGTAATTGACGTCCTGGGGCTGATACGATGATGATATTGTACTGATAGTACAGTATAATATAAGGACCTATTATGCTGATAGTCTAAAAACGTGTCCTAGACAAATACGCACCGATGTAACCTTGACTATGCGTGTCTAGACGGGGGCAGCCCCGCAACTAAAGATAATAATTATATATGTATTTTTGTTTACACACATAATTATTCCTATTTAAAAAAACACGGATTTTCCTCTCAGTGTTCGCGTTAAGTGAATGTTTTTGTACATAGATTAAACATATGACGCGGTACGACTTCCGAGTATTGTTTTGTAGGTTGCTCAAATAGTGCCTGCTTAGTACACGCTAAATTAGTTCTTAATGACGTCGCTGTATCTAGGGAACTTGTTTCATTTCTCTGAATCAGATAAAGTAATTATATTGTCTGCAAATTGATTGTAGAAGTGGGTTTAATCATTCGTACTTTTTTTATGGGATAAGCAGACTGATCACCTAATTGTAAGCAAGGCACCTGGAACACCGGAGGCGTTACAAGTGCGTTACCAGCCTTTTGGGATTAGGAATTTGAGGATTGTTGGGGATTCGGGGATTGGGGAAGGGGGGGGGGGGTTATTGGGCCTCCGGTAACCTCACTCACACGACGAAACACAACGCAAGCGTTGCTTCACGTCGGTCTTCTATGAGGCCGTGGTATCACTCCGGGCGAGCCGGCCAATTGATGCGGAAACATGGCTCTCCCACACTTAATACTTACGTATTATGCATATGCGTTTCAGCTCATTTCAGTGTTAACTGCACCTATTTGACTCCAAAACTATAAGGAATGTTTCAGGTTACAGACCGGTAGCTATTACTACAGATCAATGAAATAACTGGGTAGGTTCAACATAGGATCAGAATTAAACTTTCTGAAACAAATGAAATATTGGGAAATTAATTCAGTTAATATTTAGTGTATTCGATAATTTAAGACCTGAATTATTCCAGAAGATAACTAAACAAGGTAATGATAGGTACCTACAAACTTCACTAGGTACCTAATTAAAGTAAAATAATAGTCATAATCAGTGAAGAACGTCAGTGTAGTAATAATGTTTATAATTAAACAAATACTTATCGAAATCTCTTGTGAAATGATCATAAAGCAACTTACTCACTGTGCAACCCATTTACTATTGTCACTATTAGATTTTTAGTATTCATTTACTTTGCTTGTACATTGTAAGGTCGTCGACAAGGCTAAAATTTTAAGTATTAAATAAAATAGGCTCCATACAAAGGTAAAATTACTTTTGCAACTGTCAATATTGTGAGATTCAGAAATGGCCTCTTTATAAAAATAACTGACAATACATAAATATGAAGCTTGCTCGAGAGTTGAACTTAATATTTTTGAGTCTAGATGTTTGGTACATACATATGGCAAAAGAGACGTTTCATCATTAATAATGATAACTATCCGGCTATGCTTATTGACAGCAATGAAGCCATAGCTTGGTAGAAGTTAGTATCAAAATCAATGTTTAAAAGAAGTGTAGTGTTATTTTTGATGCTTTTTTTTTTAAGGGGGGAAAATCATCTTATGACTTTTCTCGCCTGGGTAAGGCGGGAGGGAGTGTCAGACTCTTACTGACTAAAAATCACCCCGTTCCTTCTCCTGCTCCCCGGTTATCCGTGACTTACTTTGATGCTTAGGTAGTGAATACAAATCTTTATTCAAGTCTGTCCAGTGACCTCAAAGGTGGCGATAACCTACATATTAAAAATATTCAAGGCCAATAGTGTATCTGTCTTTGTTTATTAGGTAGGCATAATGTTTGTCTACAAACAAATGTTCTTTTTTACATCATTTCTTGATAAATTTATCTTTTGTAAGTATTTTTAAACTGAGAGGTTCATTATTCATTCAGATTTTTTCGTAATATTATTTTTTATTGTGTTTGGTACTAGTGTCCATACATAACATAAGCACACTTAATCAGAAGCGATATTTTGGGCTGTAGGCTGGCTTTTTAAGTCGAAACATCGTAGTAGTAAGTAGGAGTCCAATTAGCATCTAAAGACCCTTTAGGCAATAGGTAATGCCTATTGCCTATGCCTAATGAGCCTATTGCCGTATACCGGGCACAATTCCAGACTCCGTGCTACCACTGAGAATTTTTTAAAAACCCTGTGGTACTAGTACTTTTTTGCAAGTTTCAATACATCAATAATACCTAAGAATATTTTCACAAATATACGCGTGACGTTGGCCTATTAATGTATTTGATCTTAATTATAGAGCACCAGAAAAATAAACATTTGCTCTATTATTTCCTACCACTCAATATAGGTATTTCCGTATAGTCAGTCTGTCTAAATATTATCTACTTTAACGTCACTCACGTGTGTGGAAACAGGTGTCATGGAAAACCTTGCAATTTCTTTTTTATCTTGAGAGCTGTCAGTAGATACTTTCGAAACTGTATGATATATATGTAGGTAGCTTACATATGCATTTTGAAATTGTACTAAAAATGTGTTCTTCTATATGACTCAAAAGGTAGGTAGAAGTGCACTAGATACAGCCATGTCTTTTACCCAATTATGTTGAGCTTAGTTTACACAAGATACTACGGCACAATTCTAGGCATACACGGTACTACCAAGTGCTACTAAAAATAGGCTATGACTTATAATTTGATTAAGTCTTGGATTCCGTTACTTCCTGTATTTTATTCCTGTGATACATTATTGGTTATCAAGTGATTCATCTGTCAAACTCAAGTACCTAACATACGCAGATTTGAGATTTTCTAAATTATCGTAAAGATAAAATAGTTACTCTGAGATGATGAAATTGAAACGTTAAAGAAGAATGTACTGCCGCCGGTTATCACGATGCAAAAATACAACTTTAATTTAAACAACTGTTTTTCACAGAATACACTACGTACGCCAGTCTACACGACATCGCAACGCCGCAACGCAATGGGAGTCGGTCTGGTCTTCAACTCCGACCTTTGGACCGCGGAACACCCTAGCCATTGGATCCTACAAGGCGTTTGCCTTATTATGAACACTGATTAATTAAGAGTTTACGTTTTAGTGGCGCTAGTGTCGAAAATGGTCGTTAAGGCCCTAGAAAGACGAATAACGCATTACATTTGCTATTTAGACTTCTGTCTACCCCTTTGGGGAAAAGTCAGAATGTTATGTTATAGACTAATATTATGTTGAGGGTATCTTTTAGACAATTTTAAGGAATGTAGAATTTAGTTGGCTTTCGTGGTGCCAGTTGTCTCAAAAATCTCTGGGATATTGTCTACATAGGCAGTGAAGAGTGTAGGCATTATTCGCGATATTCTCACACATACTAGTGTGTTTAATAAATAATCCGTGTATTGTGTTTTGTGACGCAATTTGAGTATTAATAACAAACCACTGCCTATACAAGAATCTAGTCAGGAAAGCGACCTGTTTTTAGAATTATGTTGTCTCATTATAAGGTTTAGATGTTAATTTTTAAATAAAGACTGATTAGAATATAAACGAATTTTATTATATTTTTTATATAATTAACAATATGTTTGACATGTCTAAGGAAGACGTAACCTTTCGGTCAAGGTTGTCTGGTCGATAGAACAAGTGGCCTTCACCAATTACCCAAGTACTGGTAAGGTCAACACACTATTCTTTGCACAGAATAATCTTAATAATAATAATTATGGTTCTTGTTAGTTTAATGCAAATAATAGTCTGATAACAAGGTAAGTTTATTTGCACTTAGCTTTAACTTGCGGTAGACACAGATTATAAAATGAGGCGTCTATAAAATCTGTCAGTCGTTGCCACTTCACCCAGCCTTTGTGGAAGAGAAACTCCTTTGTTTGCTCCTTACCAACATAATGAGGATCCTGGAAGTAATGTTCTTTTTTATAGTATGTTTATTTGCATGAAAACATTTTCCACAGTCCTCTGAGGAGTGACTGAAAATTGTCATTTGAATGAATTACTCTGTATTTATTTTACTGTTACAGTCACTCAGTCAATTTTTTGTAATCTTTTTAAATAACAATAAGAAGTTTGCAATGTATGATTTATATTACCAAAAGGCTGAAATATTCCTTATATTAGATATTACAAAAATACTTACCACTACCAATAAACTAGCATCTCGCTGTCGAACATGAACACCTAGGATTCCCTTGGAGGAAGCATCCACATCCCCGCCCATCATCACCGGACTGCCAAACTTGTCAAAATGAGACACCAGGGTGTCCACTATAGTCTTTAGTTCATCTCCATGATTAACATGCACTATTTTGCTTGGAATGTCATATAATTTGTCTATTACTAGACACACCTATAAATAAATAAAAAGAAAAAAGATTAGGTGGTTATTAATAAATGTAAATATCTAAATAATTAAAAGTTATATGCATACAATATAATTTATTACTGCAGCAATTTGAAGCTCACATATTCTAGAATTGTTATAGAAAAGAGGTTTATTAACTCCTGGCTCACACATCTCTATCTGAAGTGGACTAAAATCAAGCATTATTGGGATAGTATTTTTACCTGTCCCTTTGGGCTAGGTAAGGTGGCTAGATGAATGATTAACTATTGTACTATAACTATAACTTGTTTCAATATATTAGTATTACCTCAAAACTACCAATCCATTGCCTTGAACCCAAGAAACTTTGTGGTTTGTCTTCAAGTTGGACTAATATATCTTGTATCTCTCGTATCGAAGGAACTTTGGCTTCACTGTTAACATTTTCAGTCATCCAGGAACATATTGTTTGTAAGGTTCTATAGCCGCAACCCCAGCCCTGAGAAAATGTATATTTATTTACAAAATATTAACATAACCTCAAAACATTCCGAACTTGCAATTACACTAAAACTGAATAAGACAGTATAAAAGATATCTTACTCTATCGTCGAATCCATCACAAAGGTAATGATAGTATTTATAATTTCCTGAAACTAAGTACGTTTTGCCGGAATCTTTTTTTTTTTTTTTTTCTTTTTCCTTGGCAACCGAGTCTCCAATACGGTGTTGTCGACTATACTGCCAGTGTCGGGTGGTGACGGCAGATTAATGAGCCGTCGAAGTTAACTTTGCGGTAGTTTTTAGTAGTTAGTAGCTGAAAGGACAAAACAATTGGGTTAGTAAACATATAAACATTACCAACTATTTTACTGTATGAGTACAGGGGTGAAGAAAATAGTTGGGGGGACGTACACAATACAGACACACAGATATATACACTATTTACATAAATGTCACCGTCATAGTTTAATCTCATTATCATTAATGAATCTACATAAACAATGGATTAATTTAGGGGAAAAGTGAGTTAAAAGGAGGTGGAAATTAATTGGAAGTGGGATTTGAATACTGGGGAGTTTTTTATAAAGGTCAAAAGATTGGGAATTTAAAGGACACGAAAAAAATATATGGTCTACAGTTCCCTCGTCAAGGCCGCATTCACACAGCGAGCTGTCGCGGACACGGATCTTGTTGAGGAAGACTGGGCTACTACAATGGCCGAGTCTGAGTCTGCACAAGGATGAAACAGTGTGGCGGGGGAGCTTAGGGTACTTGGAAAACCAAGGCCTCCGCCGGATGCCGGGCTGGACACTTGCATAGTAGGCTCCTTTACTTTTGGAAGTGTCTACCCACACTGCAGCCCATGACTCAAAAAGCTTGTGTTTGGTGTCGGCACGTACATCATACCCGTACACCACGTAGTGTTGACGTTCGACATCGTTCGACGCCGCAAATTTGGCTAGGGAATCCGCACACTCGTTACCGCATATGCCAGAGTGGCCAGGAATCCAAGCGATCTCGATGTTTAGGCCATCATTGAAGCAGGAAAGAAGAAGCGCCTTTATCTCAACAACCAAACTGCTATGGGTTCTGGAATGGAGCTGATCTTGGTTGAGGGACTGTAGGCTACTTCGGGAATCAGAAAAAATTACGGAATTTTTGAGGTTGTGAGCTCTAATAAATTTGAGTGATTCCAAAATGGCCGCACATTCACCCGTGAAGACTGATGCCTCCGGGGGACACTTGGAGAGGAGAGCGATCCTCGAATTTTGGAAGTACGCTGCCACTCCTGTACATCCGATTCGGGATAATTTAGACGCGTCTGTGTAGAAGGTATTCCAGCCTCTCCAGTATTTGTCCAAGGCACGTTTGAACTCGTCTGCAGCATTCACGGTGGATTTCGAAATGCCAAGTCCTAAAATCAGCTTTGGTCTAAAGTGGATAACCTCATATACGGAAGAAAACACTGGGAGCACAGGATATTGACTTATGGGTGCAGAGAGGTTTTTAAGCTCCCTGTACCTAGCAATCACGGGAGGGACAGGTTTATTTTTCCAGTAAGAAGAGGAGCTGTAGGAACAGTGGATTTGATCTAGGATAGGGAGAAGGGGATGTGATGAGAGGGAGAGGACTTTTGAGATGAAGCGGTCTGCAAGGTATTGTCTTCGCAGGTTGAGAGGAGGCTCCGCACATTCAACCTGAAGAGCGTTTATGGGGGATGATTTCATAGCTCCAATAATTATTCTAAGGCATTTGGTCTGAATGGAGTCTAGTTTTTTTAATGCTTCCTTATTGCAAGGTACAATAAGGAAGCAACAATAGTCCATTACACTTCTGACCAATGCATTGTATATGAGCTTCAATGAAGAGGGGTGAGCACCCCACCATACCCCAGCCAGAGCTCTGAGTATCGATACTGAGCGTTCACACCTACCAACTACGGTGTTTATGTGGTCCACCCCAGACATCTTTGAGTCGAGATGGACTCCCAAAAATCTAGCGCTGCTTTTAATCGGGATAGTCTGACCGTCCATCTCTATACGAAGATCCGGAGTGCGTCGTTTGCGTGTAAAAATGACAGCCGAGCTTTTTGGGGCACTTAAAGATAACCCGTGATTGAGAAGCCATTGGTTTAATGAGGACAAAGAGACATTGATGGAGTGAGCGGCCTCTGTTATAGAATTGCTGGTGACCATTAATGCGATATCGTCAGCGTACTGAAGGACATTACAGTTAAAATTTAAACAGGAGGGGAGGTCATAGGTATATATGTTATAAAGGATAGGACTAAGGACTGACCCCTGAGGTAAACCTTTCCAGGAGGACCTCTGTACTGGGTTATCCTCAGGAGTTCTCAATTGGAGGGTACGATTGGAGAGGATACAGCCTATAATTCGGCAAATCCCACTCGGGATTCTCAGCTCTTGCAGTTTCTGCCTGAGAAGGGGTAAGAGGACAGAATCATAGGCCGCTGAGATGTCCAGGAAGACCGCGACCAGCGACTCCTGCCTGCTAAGGGCCAGTCGGATGGCTGACGTGAGGACACCCACACTGTCAGCCGTACCCAGACCTTTCCTGAAGCCAAACTGAGTCGCCGGAAGCTGCCTCCGGCTTTCAACCAACCATTCAAGGCGGTTTTTAATGAGGTGTTCAAAAGTTTTAATAAGTACGGACGATAGAGCGATAGGTCGGTAGGATTTATGATCACCAGGATCCTTGCCAGCTTTCAACAGCGGCATGATAACCTGAACCTTCCAAGTAGGAGGAATATAGCCTGAAGTAAAGCAAAAATTGACCAAGTCAAGGTAGTATTGTTTTGTTTTAGTTCCAGCCTTAGATAGGAAGGAGTAAGGGAACCCATCAATCCCTGGTGCCGAGTCCTTGACATGGTTGAGTACCGTTTGGAGCTCTTCATAAGAGAACTCCAAATCGAGCGGTTCATGTGTTTCGTCATAGGGTCTCTGGCAGCACTCGTCTGCACTGGGAACATATACTGGAGCAATACTATTTAAAAATCTGTTACTTAGAGATTCGGGTAAAATCGAGATAGTGGGAGGTTTGGTGGAGTTCCTGAAATTTTTCACTCTCTGCCAAACTGTAGATACTGGAGTGGATGGGCTCAGAGAACCACAAAATCTTTGCCACCCTTGTCTCTTCTTTTTTTTGAACAATTTCCTTGACTTAGCCAAAATTCGTTTGAAATTTATGAGGTTTTCCAGGTTCATATCTTGGTTATATGTCTTTTCAGCCTCATTCCTAGCCCTTATCATGGCAGTGCATTCACTATCCCACCATGGCGGAGAAGGGATTTTGCCTTTCGGTGCGTTTTTCACCGGAAAGCAATCTTCAGCAGTGGAGGCTATCAGGTCCGAAAATTTTGAAAAACACTCCAAAGCATTCTCAGGATTAATTGGTGAAAGGAAGGAGATACGGTGGTCTAATAATTTTGAATAAAGATCCCAATCAGCTGCATTCAAACGATATTTTAATAGGGGGGGAAGGGGTTTATCTGGAATAGATTTTGACAGGTGTTTAATTATGATAGGATAGTGATCACTACCATAGGTCAAATTCAAACAACTCCAATTAAGCACGCCAGCCATAGCAGGCGAGCAGAAGGTCAAGTCCACACAGCTGTTTCTTTGACCAAATGCAGACCTACGAGTAGGGCTGCCATCATTGATGACACACAATTCGAGTTCGTCCAGCATCTCTACTAATTCAATACCTACATTATCGCATACATCTGAACCCCATCTATAGTGGTGGCAGTTGAAGTCACCCATTATAAGCAATGGGCCACTTACCAAGGTTAGTAAACTTTTAATTAACATAATGTGATCAACATGAGGGTGAGCAATATAAAATACAAAAACATTTATGTCCTCAGCCTTAACAGCGACAACATTTATGTCATCGCCAACGAAGGGTAGAGGGATCTGGGTGAAGGGCACTTTGTTATTAATTAACAAAGCACACCCTCCATAACCATCAGATCTGTCATGTCTGACAACACTGAAACACGGGATCCCGAAATTAATATTCGGTTGAAGCCATGTCTCAGCAATGCCACAAATCGATGGTTTAAATTTATTTATCAAGTGGAGTAAGTCACTCTTCCTGGGAAGAGTACTCCTCACGTTCCACTGAAGCAGTGTTAGAGGATGGAATGTTACAGATATAATCTAGAATTGTAGAAAGTTTGTGTGCGACGTGGTCAGGTATATTTTGGGCAGGGTTTGCTAGTACTGCCATAAGCATATCAGAGACTATATTTAGGATGTACTTGGAGCTACGAGTATTGGTTCCGGATTCCACAGGGAAAGCGCAACCATTTTTAGATGGGGAGAAAGAGTGGTCTTGGATAAGGGCCCGATGGGCCTTCTTATCATAGCTAGGAGAGAGGGGCGCATGTGATTTAGGTTTGAGTTGGACTGTTTTTTTGTAGGACACTCTTTGTTGGGATGGAGTTTTGTTGGGAGATGAATCTATAAGGTTGGCTGATCTTGAGACCTCAGCATAAGACCTTTTAACGGTTGGGAAAACTTGGCTTGCTTCCGTATATGAGATTGATTTTTCCGCCATCAATGCTTTGATGCTCTTCTGGCGACCCAACTCAGGACAAGCTTTGTCGTTAGCAAAGTGATTGCCATTGCAGTTGATACAATGGGCAATCTCGGCTGAAATCTGACATCCATCGCCTGGATGATCCTGGCCACATCTGAAACAACGCGGCTTGGAGCGGCAAAGGGTGCGGGTGTGCCCAAAACGACAACAGTTATAACACTGTATGGTAGGGTATGAGTACAATTCCACCGGCAGTGCTGAATAAAAACAGAAGACCTTTTTGGGTAGGGTTTGACCATCGAAAGTTAGCACTACAGTTTGCGTAGGCTTCCATTCAGTACCATTTGTAGATGTAACTCTTCGATTCATCCTCCTAGCTTTTATCACAGCCCCACACCCGGCGGGAACCCTGATATTACCAATTATTTCGTCCTCTGTCCACTCGACAGGGACGTCCCTTACAATGCCCATTCGAGTAATATTAAATTGTGGGATCGAGGTCACGTAATTTTGAGCCACCATACCGTTCACTAAGAAACTGTTTGCATCCTGGTGAGACACAAACTCGACCGATACTCTATTCCTACCCAGCCGTTTGACACCACCAATTTTGACATTGTTAATGTTGTGTTTCATTAAAAACATCCCAAACTTAACAGGGTGTAGCGTGGTTC